CATCATACCTATTTAATCAAAATTCCGAAGACATCTACTCCGGTTATTCAATATTACTATAAACAGAAATAAGTATACAGGCTGATTCACGGTGGATGGCACGTTAGACGTTTATGGAGAACGGGACATAGAATCATCCTGAAATTTTGGTTACTCACGTAGTGGCTCTTGGTCTATCGATCTAAAATATTTTCAGCTCTGCGGCGTTGCCGCTTCTATCGAAAAGTAGCAACAACTTTGTTATTTTAAATAGAACACCCTGTATTTTATTGCATTTTCAGATTCTCTCTGAAGAGCTGATTTCATCGATGTATCACACTTTGGGTCTAGCGGAAATGATTACAGAGATATAGGGTGTGAAAAATCGTCATTTTTCAACTTTAGGAATTTTTTTAGTCGAAACTATTCATTATTGGTCAAAACGGCTCACATGTCCCTATCTCAACTTTTGATTAACTATCTACTGATATTTAATTGGGACATATACCGGGTGATCAAGAATCTGAATTCTGCACCACCCTGTATTTGTTTCAATTAAATGTCAGTAGATAGTTGATCAAAAGTTGGGATAGGGACATGTGAGCCGTTTTGACCAATAATGAATAGTTTCGACAAAAAAAATTCCTAAAGTTGAAAAATGTCGATTTTTCACACCCTATATCTCTGTAATCATTTCCGCTAGACCCCAAGTGTGATACATCGATGAAATCAGCTCTTGAGAGAGAATCTGAAAATGCAATGAAATACAGGGTGTTCCATTTAAAATAACAAAGTTGTTGCTACTTTTCGATAAAACCGGCAACGCTGCAGAGCTGAAAATATTTTAGATCAATAGACCAAGAGCAACTACGTGAGTAGCCAAAATTTCAGGATGATCCTATGTCCCGTTCTCCATAAACGTCTAACGTGCCATCCACCGTGAATCAGCCTGTATACAGGGTGTTCCTTAATGATATGCTAATATTCGAGGGGCTGATTCTTTGACCCATTTCTAGAACGAAACTTCATATGAACATATGTCGTAAACGTCCTAACTTTTGAGATACAGGGTGTCAATGTTGAAAATATGCATAGATAATTTTGTTGTCTACCATTTATAGCTTTTCGTGGTGGCAAAATTCAGTCTGCTATGTGACTTAATCGGTATACAAATTCCGAAATGTTACATACGGTGGTTATCCAGTAATGGATGTCCTGAATGGAGAACTCAAACATCAAAATATGAAGTTTGGTCTCGTTTTTCCGTTTTTTCTCGGAAACGAAGCGTTCTATCGAGTATCAACAAGAAGATCTTTTTTGTACATAATTGAATAGCCTTTCATAGCATTGCATGAAATTTGAAAATGTTTCGTCGTTGCTCACTTTTATGTAAAATATAAACAATAATTTTCCCGTAACGGTGCCACTGGTAGAGAAAATGAAAATTTTTGTACATCAGAAAATGCAACTTTATGCATAAAAGACGTGTACCAAATTTCAAAAAGATGTATACAATTTTGTCTTAGTTATAATCAAAAAACTGAATATTTTTCAAAACTTCATCACCCTGTATCTCAAAATTTAAGACTTTTAGGACATACGTTCATAATAAGTTTTCTTCTTGAAATGAGTCAGAAAATAACCCCCTCAAATATAAGCATGTCTTTAAGGAACACCCTGTATAGTAGGTAATCATCATATATGCTTCATTCCTAACTTATAGGCTACTGTATATGCCAAAAATTGTCTAAATATCCCTCTATATACAGGATCCAGAAACAAATAAATCTTTTTTTTTTTTTTTTTGAAAAAAAATATATTTCAGCAAGGAGCATGACCATTTCGGAATTTCGAACCTTGGAAAAAATGCAAAACAATTCCTGAATCAACGGGGAGGCTTTTGAAATTTCTAAGATAGTGCCAAGTATCATATACCGGGTGACACAGGAGACATGATGTAGCAGCCTGTAGTTTTTTTTATTTGAAGAGATAACATTTTGAAATTCACAGGGGGTATATAATAAATGGTAGCGCACTTTACGAACTTAACGAAAAATTTTTTCAACCACCTGTTTGACCGGAAGTGACCCCAACTTTTTTTTTTAAATGTCACCCTGTACATTTCTTCAGTCTATCTTATTCGCCTTGAGATTCTCTATCCAACCATGTATCACAAATTTGCATTTATTTCCTTATTCGCTGTTGAATTGCTTTTTATTCAAAAATAATAAGTTGGCTGTGACATGAATTCGATGATATATATCGACACTTGGTAGGCTTCGAAATTTGAATATCATTAGTAAACCGATATTATTCAAAATGTTTTGATATTCTGATCAATGTCTGTAGGCTGTCAATAGCTTGTTTGAGTCAAGATGAATACCTTCGAAAATAAATCATGATATTGAGGAATCTAAGAAAGGAACATATTTTTTCGAATTCAGCTACTAGTACAGGAACTATCTGTCTTTTATTTTCGCCATGTACCTATCACATGATCTTCCCATTTGGAATAATAAAACTAAAATTATTGTTCCTCTTATACGATGGTCCACAGGGCTATCAGTCTATTTTTTCATAATTATTTCACTTAGTAGGCGGTGAACCTACACAAAATGTTTTATGTGTTAATCGATTGCATCAATAATTTTTCTTCTTCATTTGTGTGTTGATTAAAATTGCATATATTAACAACATATCGACTTTTTCGTTTCTTGAATACATTTTCCATCTCTATATTGATAATATGCAATATTAATCAACACACAAATGAAGAAGAAAAATCATTGATGTAATCGATTAACTATCAAACACATAAAACATTTTGTGTAGGTACACCGCCTACTAAATAAGTGAAATAATTATGAAAAAATAGAATGAAGATATTTGCGTTCGAAGATTCCATATGCTCAATGGGTGTGACTTCGCAAAATTGAAACGTCTTTCTCTGTCACACTCATTGAGCATATGGAAACTCAGAACGCGAATATCTGCGTAATCGTTTGAAATAACCCTATCAAACCCGGTATCGATGAATTCGTTATGACAATCCCTAACCGACTATGGAACACAATACAGGGTGTCCCATTTGAAAATCAAAAGTTGGGGTCATTTCCAGTAAATCCGGAAGTGAAAGAACAAAAATTGTTTCGTCAATTAATGAGCAATTTGGTATACTACCTGCCCACCAATTTTCAAAACCCTATCTATAATAATTCAAAAGTTACAGTCCTGGCCGTTTTTTGTGCAGTTCTCTGTATGTTTCAAATGGTGTTTTTGGACAATCAAATCATAAATCCAACAGCCATTAACGTCAATTGATTAAATCTATTACCTATCCTACAAATTATTATTCTTGGGTGACTAGTTTAGTTCCGGTGACAATGCCATTTCACTTTCATTGCAAAATTATTCGAAATATGGCGCCTCCAATATGGCGGACAAGTTATATACAGGCCAAAAATAAACACGAATTTGGCTAGAAAAGGCTGAACATGTAGGTAATCATTCACCCTCTATATGGCTATTAGACGAATTTCAAATTCAAAGCCCTGAGGGGACAGAAGGACGATCTTACTTTCATATAGCCATCTAGTGGCTTGAGTGCAAAGGTGTATAGGTAGATTCATCAATCATACCTTGCGACTAAGTCGTGCATATAGACCCCTACGTCTATATGGTTACAGAAAAGACATCCATATCAAATTCTGTAGACTATCGCAACACCTGTAATTCTCTCAAAGTGGTTTAATGTTCCACTAACAGATGGTGATAAACCTATAGAATCTCAAGAATCAAGAGATTCTAGGGAAATTTCGTGAATCGATTGTCCGCTGACAGCTGACTGGCCAGCTGACAATCGATTCTGCTGGCCATGCAGTGCAACAAAGGTGGATATATGTATGGTGAAATAGCTCCCTCTTACAAAACCCTAGAAATTTTTGTAGACCTCTGGCCTACTTGATTATGTCGAATTCTATCACCGTAGTAAGGCCGCGCAAAACTAACGCTAGATGGCGCTGTTCCCGAACTGATCTTGCTGCACAATGGTTGTATTGTTTTGTTGTTTACATTTACGTATATTAATTCGTAATTCAAAAACATTGAGAAAAAGTGATTTATTTAATGAAAAAGACGTGAAATTTTCATTATATCTGTGAAGTATATGTGGCACGATGTTCCCTACGCCATCTACAGTCAATCCGGTGCGGCCTTGCTACGGTGTTTCGCGGTCTACACGTTTTGGAAAGAAACAATTGACAACTGGTTACACCAGTCTATTTTCATCATGAGTGCAACTGATGAGACTTATGGCAAGTCGAAACAGTCTGTCTTGTATCAGCTGACAATCGATTCACGAAATTTCCCTAGAATCTCTTAGTCTTGAGTCTAGGTTTATCATCATTTGTTAGTGGAACATTAAACGACTTTGAGAATTACAGGTGTTGCGATAGTCTACAGAATCTGACATGGATGTCTTTTCTGTAAACATATAGACGTAGGGGTCTATATGCACGACTTAGTCGCAAGGTATGATTGATGAATCTACCTATACACCTTTGCACATAAGCCACTAGATGGCTATGAAGGCTAGATCGTCCTTCTGCCCCCTCAGGGCTTCGACTTGTTTGATATATGGAGGTACCCTTCGTGAATCGATTGTCGGATGGCCAGTGCAACTGGTGAGACTCATGGCAAGTCAAAACAGACTGTCTTGCATCAGCTGACAATCGATTCACGAAATTTCAAATTCTTCATTTGAGAGCAGCTCCTAGACCAAGAATCCAATATGAACACTGAAAATATCGTCTGCCATCTTGAATCTTCAACTTTTGACTGATCATGTGCCTTATTTGACCTCAATAACCATCAGACATCATTTAAAGTCGAATCTAACGAGATGTGACAAATCGTCGGCCATATTAGAAGCGCCATCTTGAATGTTTGTCAATAAATGTGCAGAATTTCAACTCAATCGGTTGATAGGGAGGATGAAATGAATGCAATAAGACTGCAGCATACCTATTATACCTTTATATTAATATGTAAATTGATATAAAACATAATATGTCATCATCAATTAATATATTATTCAACAGTTTCTTCCATTTCGACATCATCTATAACCAAGTCATCTAACATTTCTTCTAGAGTGATTTGTGGTACGTTCTCATCGTAATCGACATCGAGAGTATCAACAGGAATCTGCTTAGATTTATCCTTGAAAATGTTGATGTTTTGTCGGAGAGCTGGATCCTCTTCCAGATCATCCAAAAATTCATGGAAGTCTCTGAAATTTAGTAATGGAATTATTATGAAATGATCCTAAATGCATAATGAAAAGACTTACTTTGCATCAGGATCGAATGCAGTATCATCCTCAGCTAGTCTCTTGAGTTTCCAAATTCTTTGTCTCCTTCTGAATGATCTATCAGCATAATGTTTCTTTACTAGTATCACTTCTGGGATATTTGATTTGTCCAGTTTTTCGAAGTTCATATCGTTTATATTGCTGTCTTCTAAGTTGTACCTTGAACAGGTTTAAATCAATTTTATATTTTGTTTTTCAATTGACTCGACCGTTACTTGATGGGAATCCATAGTAAATGTAAAAAATTTCACAAATGATAAGATTTCCAAATAATTCTAAATCACAAGACATGTTTCGCTAACATAGTAGCTTCTTCAGGTAAAATACTGGTACAAAAACTAAACTTACATTGACTCTCCTATCTAGTCTCTGAAAATTCTGGTGTCAAGGTGTTTGTTGGCAAACTTTTATTTCGTTAATTCTGAGAAACGATCGTCAGCAATTTTTTTAAATTGAAATTTCAAGATGGTGGATCCAATATGGCGGTTGAGTTATGAAATTATGATCCGATTCTATTCAAAATAGGTATCTGGGGATTTTCGGGATCGGAGATTATGATTCTTACATTAAAATTCGGAAATTCAAGATGGAGGATTCAATATGGCGGACAAGTTTTATAATAATTACGATCTGATTCTATTTAGAATGGGTATCTAAGGATTAAGGGGGTCGGAGAATATGTTTCTTCGTCAAAATTTTAAAATTCAAGATGGCGGATCCAATATGGCAGACGAGTTTCGTAATTATGATACAATTCTATTCAAAATTGGTATCTGGAGATTTTTCGGAGTCGGAGATTATGATTCCTACGTCAAAATTGGGAAATTCAAGATGGCGGATGAGTATCGTAATGAAGGACTGATTCTATTCAAGTTTGGTATTTGGGGTATTTCGGGGTCGGAGATTATGATTTCTTCGTCAAAGTTTTGAAATTCAAGATGACGGATCCAATATGGCAGACAAGTTTTATAATTATGATCTAATTCTATTCAAAATTGGTATCTGGAGATTTTCGGAGTCGGAGATTATGATTCCTACGTCAAAATTGGGAAATTCAAGATGGCGGATGAGTATCGTAATGAAGGACTGATTCTATTCAAAATTGGTATTTGGGGTTTTTCGGGGTCGGAGATTATGATTCCTTAATATTAGGAAATTCAAGCTGGCAGGATCCAATATGGCGGGCGAGTTTCGTAATTATGATCTGATATTCTATTTAAAATTGGTATCTGGGGGTTTTCGGGGTCGGAGCTTATGACTTTTTTGTCAAAATTGGGAAATTGAAGATTGCGGATCCAATATGGCGAACGAGCTTTATTGTGATGAATAGTAATAATGGAACATGCTTTCATGGATAGCCAAACTTAAAATAAGTCCATCAAGTATCGGCCCAGTCAATTCAAAATAATAGTTTTTTTCGTTATCTTTCTGAGACCCTGCCTATTGTGGTGCAATATTTTCATTTCTGCTACCATTTTTCTACAACCTATGACGTCATAAGCTATTGCTCTTTAATTGAACCCTCTCTCTCAAATTTGAAGATTTTTTTTGTAGGACATCGTCACTCTGGAATTCTCCATGTATTCAATTGTTTTTCACGGAGATAAACACTTGAATATACAGTGTGACTCACTTCTAATGTAAACACACCTGTATCTTATGTAATCGTTGGGTAAGGATCCTGAGATTTACTGGAGCGAGAGATATACCAAAAATGCACTCTATGACCAAGTGGCGTCATCTTCAGTGATATACACTGCTCGCCAACAGCCATGGAACCACCCCCATTTCCGGAAAATAATATTAGGAGTCGAAATAGGTCGAAAATCACTTCAGATTCGGAATCAGGACGCCCAATTAACTAACTATTCATATTTTTCGTGGAAAATTGTCGGATCTGAAAAATTGAATTCTGTCGCACTTTTTACGAAAGCACCCCCGTATATTACGTAATTGACTTTATCTTTGGACTTTCCCTGTCTCCTGCGAATTTCAGAACCCTACCTCAATAATTACGTGAGAAACGGGGGTTCTTTCATGAGAAGTGAGACAAAATTCAATTTTTCTGAACTGAAAACTATGAATAGTTAGTGAATTGGGCGTCCTGATTCGTTACCACCGATACAACAAGGCCAGCAGACTCTGACGTAAACAGGTCGTGACGTCACCAAGAGAGGCCAGTGTTTTATTTTATCGCTTGTCGACTAACGCGTCAGTTCGTGTTAATTCATCTGTGATTCACGTATGTTTTTTAAACGGTCCCGAATTCTTTTGTTGTTTACTCATCAGAATAATTGGCGGAAAAATTACTGTTTTGTGAAATATTTTGTGTTGTGATCGGCGAAATAACAATGCCTTTCAAGTGTTGTGTTCCCTTTTGTCGGGGGAATTATGTGGGTGGTTCAAAAGTTCATGCTTTTAGTTTCCCGTTGGACGAGGAGCTATCGAAAATGTGGGTATATGCAATTCACCGCGAGGATTTTACTCCATCTAAGTTCAGTAGTAAACAGAGCTTAATTTATAATGATGAATTAATAATAGAAGACAATTACTCTCTCATAAAAAGTATAAGTAGAGGAAAAATAGAAAAGCTTTGATTGTGCAGTTAGTTTTTTATTCGTATATTATAGTCAACAAAATCATCTCTGAATTCGAGGAAATTTTCTTGAATGTTCATAATAAACGGGCATTTTTAGTTCTCATTCTCAAATTTCTTTCTGAAAACGGTCATTTGCCTCGTGGCAATGAATGCAGAATTAATTCCAATGATCAAATTGCAACTATCATATTAACATGATCTACAAACACTCTACTTAAAAAGGTAAAACTGCATTTATCATGATATTTATCATGAAGATATTTGACTAGAAAGTTCCGAATTTCACCTTCTTTTTCACCTGTCTTCTGGATGGCATTTAAAACAGATTTCCCTTCTTTTTTCATCATATTGGACAATTTATATATAATTCAACTATAAATATGATTTTCTTGAGATTAATCCATATTTAGTGAAAAGAAGGAAGAATAGAGTAGAATAGAATAGAATTTATTCATATCGCCACAGCTACCACCATAGGTGGATATATACTTCAAAGTATAGGTACAAGTCTAAAATACAATACATCTCAGTACACAAAATTAAAATTAACAAAACAATAGAATGAATGAATATCATTCAAAATAATGGCGTGTGTAATGTCATTCGAAAGCAATCTATTGACATTCAACATCTGGTATTTTGATTGTCTATTGATTAAATGGTCGCCATCTGGAATGCTTGTTCACTAAATATGGAAAATTCGCCATAAAAATCATATTTCCTGTTGTTGTTGAATTTTCTATATAAAAATGTGCCATCGAAGTACATCATGAGTATATAAAGTGTCCAATGACAAAATAAGAGCAAGTAGCTTCAAATGCCCCCAACACAAGGGGAGGAAGAAGGCGAAATTTCGAACTTTTTCTTGAAATATCTCAATAAATAGTGGTTTGTTCACATTTTCATTATCAAATTCGGTTTATCAGACAAAAAGACGTGAGTACCGAAAAAATGTTTCAAAAAAAACCATCGCATGATAAATGCAGTTTTACCCTTAAAAATTACGGTTTCAAGTGTAACGATCCACTTGGGTGAAAAATCCAACAACAGAAAATTGAAAACACTCACTGGTTAGTTTTTCAGGTAATAGGAATTCTCCAAGATAAATATAGGTAATTGTAACAAACGGCATGTCAATCAAAATAAAATACATTTTCCACAATTTTCTTTCGATCAATCTCACGATAAGTTTATGTTCTGCGGGTCCTGTATAAGTAGGTGTGAAGTTTACCATCACCACAATTTTTGCCAATATATTTAATTCGAATGGGTTGCTGTAGATGAATATTTGTGTTTTATCCTGGTTTTTGCTCTAAAACATCGTTTTTCCATAATAAAATCGAATGGGGTGCGAAGAAGGGCTCAGTTGACGACTGGCATCCTTTTTTAACCGGAAGCCCTTCAAAAAACAGCAAAATCGGCTCAATGATGACCTAAAACTAAAATCGGAATACGCGGTCGCCTTATAGCGCTACAAGCGCTTGTCGTTTCGAGCCGCTGGTTAGGCCTCACTAAGTGACGTCACCCACGCCACGGAGCATGCAGGCCTCGTTGTATCGGTGGTAACGCCTGATTCCGAATCCGAAGTGATTTTCAACCTATTTTGACTCCTAATATCATTTTCCGGATATTGGGATGGTTCCATGGCTGTTGGCGAGCAGTGTATATCACTGAATATTACCCCACTTGGTCGTAGAGTGCATTTTTGGTATACCTCTCGCTCCAGCAAATTTCAGGATCCTTATCCAACGATTACGTAAGATACAGGGGTGTTTCCATCAGAAGTGGGTCACACTGTAGGAAAACTACCCCATTTTGATAGGAGAAGGTTTGTTTCGTCCCACACTATTGTCAACCCCGGTACTGAAAACCATCTGCATCTTGCAAACTCACCCCATGACAGAATCTCCTGGTTTCAAGACGTGCCCCAAATGGGTCCTAGTGTGTATCGTATTTTCAGTGATGCCTAGCTCTGATGCCCTCACGACCCAAATGTCCGCCAATACGTGCCGCGTGGAAATAGCCCCCTGCCCGGGAAAACATTTCCTTTCTTTGTCTTTGATGGGTTCGATGTCCATCACGATGTACTCCACCAGTTGCTTGGGGTTGCAAACCGATCCGAAGGGGTAGCGCCAGTACGTGGTAGCATTTACCTCAGCGACTGATCAAATGGTTAAATTAATGACTTGTGAGGTCTTTTCTTCAACAAAAATTTCCCCGACAATCAGGATATTGAGTCAAAACCGATAACCAAAATTGGAAATTTGGCGAATATTAGAGAGTATGTGCGAGGTCTCGAGAGTATATTTGAGTAGAGTAAAAGTGTACGGATATGTATACCACGCTAAATGATCGAATAATCACGGATTGACGATCTGTGATTTATTCAAAATATTAAACACGTTACCATGGCAACACGATTTCTTGAACACATTACCATGGCAACACAATTCATTAAACACAGCTTCGGTAATTTGACACATGTCTGGCCTGTCAATTGTGTTAACTGTCGACTGTTATCTTCAAATTTTCTATCAGAATAATTCAAACAATATTCGTTTGTAACAGAATTCTTCATTAAAAATATATGCGAAATGTAGACGAAAGTGAAATCGAAGAGAATGTTCTGGTACTTGCATATCTCCAAGAAGTGTAAAAATGAAGCATCCATCTTCGAGGACAATTTATTTGTTCTGCGCTAAGCATGACAATAAACGTGAAACAAAGGTTAGGAAGCAATGGACTGGACAGATCTACAACCAATATCACTTATCGTGTCTCGCTGGTTGCATGCAGTTGCATGTATTATGTTCTCAATTCCCATTCCTTTCGAATTATTTTGTAGGTTAGCAGGAAAAGCAGGTATGAGGTATGTTAATGTAATTTTCGGAGTTCATAGAAGAAGCACAGTATGTAACGCGTTTATAAACTCTTCTAGACACTCGTTTATTGAACACTCGCTCCGCTCTGCTCCGCTCGTGCTTGAAATACTCTTACTAAAAGGACGTTTGTAACACTTGTTACATAATATACTATTGTGAGGTATTTTCTTCAATAAAAATTGCACCAAGAATCAGAATCGAAATATGCGGTGAATACTAAAGCACTTGAGAAACCTTTTCTTTAACAGAAAGTACTCGACAAATCAGAATCAAAAAATTTTGTGATTATTCGAAATTATTCGGGAAGTCTCTTCCAACAAGAATTACCGTTAAAATAAGATTTTTTTTTCGAATATCTGAGAGTATTCGTGAGGTTTCAACAAAAATTACTCCGAGAATCGAAATCTGAATATTACGTAAATATCATAGAGAATTTACGAGGTCATTTGAACAACAAAAATACAAAAAAGTATTCGTGAGTTATTTTCTTAAATGAAGAATACCTCACAAAACAGAATTTGAAAATTTCAAAAAATACTCCTACAACAAAAATTGGAAATTTAGTGAATATTGAAGAGTATTCATTTGCGAGGTATCTTTTTGAACAATCTTTTTCCGAGAATCAGCGAGAGTATATTGTGAATATTAAAGAGCATTTGTGAGGTATTTTCTTCAATAAAAATTGCATCAAGAATCAGAATCAAAATATACTGCCCTTGGCGGGGGCTTTTCTTCAACAGATATTTCCAGACATATCAGAATCAAAATATTTTTTGAATTTTCGAAATTATTCGGGAAGTCTCTTAACCTCTAAAATCAGAATATTCTGTGAATATTTAAGAGTATTTGTGAGGTTTCAACAGAAATCACCCCGAGAATCGAAATCTGAATATTCTGCGAATATCAAAGAGAATTTGCGAGGCCATTTCTACAACAAAAATACAAAAAAGTATTTGTGAGTCTTCCTCTTAGATAAAAAATACCTCAAGGAGCAGAATTCAAGAAATCTGTGAATAGTAAAGAGTATTTGCGAGGTACCTACACTTAATACTACCCAACAATCAGAATTGAAGTATTTAGTCGATTTTAAAGAGTATCAAAATATCTTGTGAGTATTCAATTAAAATCATTTGCGAGGTCACTTGATCAACAAAAATTACCCCGAGAATGGAAATCATAGTATTTTGTGAATACAAAGTATATACGAGGTATTTTCTTGAACAAAATATAATGCACGTATCAGAATTGAGAGATTCTGTGAATATTAAAGTGTTTTTAGTAGTGCCAACTCTGATGCCCTTACGATGATGTCCGCCAAAACGTACCGCGTGGAAATAGCCCCATGCCCGGGAAAACATTTGTTTTCTTTGTGATGTATTTTTTCCAACAAAAATATACCCTGCGCATCAGAATAATTGATTGCTAAAGAGTATTTACATATTGTGACGTTTACAACGAAAATTGTTCAGCGAATCAGAATCAATATTAACTGAAGAGCACTTACAAGGTCTTTTCTTCAACAAAAATCACCACGGGAATCAGAATCATATTTTGTGAATGTTGAAAGGATTCACGAGGTTTCAACACAAATTACCTTGAAAATAGGAATCAGAATATTTTGTGAATAGTAAAGAGTACTTAGGAGGTATCAAATTCAATGAAATTACCCCTAGTGGTATCTTCTTCAACAAAAATCATAAGGAGAATTAGTAGATATTGTGAATACTGAAGACTATTTTATTCGTGAGGTATTTTTTTTTTAACAAATTACCTCAAGAATCAGAATCAAAATATTTTGTGATTATTCAAAATTATTTAGGAGGTATTTTAAAAATATTTCCTAAGGGGGTAAATGATCAATCTATGTTGAAAGTTTTAAGATTGTAGGCAGTCAAAAATTCTTAATATTTTAGGAGTAAACTGATAAGGATTTGAATTTTGAATTCAGCAGCATAACATTTGTTTTCTCTGGGTATTCAAAATAAAAAATATCAGAATTTCTGAATTTCTTCAGAGGCATACTAATTTTATTTCCTGGGGTTCATGATGCCTTAATTTGAGGGCGGTCCTACAGGGGGTGGGTAAAGGTGGTAATTACCCCCCACTAGATTATTACAATATAACAATATTTTTAATTAAATGCAAAGAAAAATTAATTAGTGAAATCAAAATCATGAAAAAATTCAAATTGAGCCATATTACAGGTTGAATTAAACAGAAAATTGCAAAATTTGTATCACCCTAGTGTCACAATTTGTCATTGCATTGTAAGAGATGTGTCTATTTTTCCAGTGGAAATTTGAATTGCTGGTTCAATATTAGTGATGAAGTTGTGGATTTTTGCTATTTTGTGAAATATCATTAAATACAAATTAAATGTTAATGTTCTCATGATTTCTTCTACCCAGTTCAAAATTCAATAACAAGCAAGACAGTGTTTCTGACAAAAAGACATTTCAATCCTGTCAATCCAATTCAGTGGAAAATAGCCTGATATTGCTGAAAATAAGAATAACAGCAATCAATTACATGCATTAAAAAATTGGAAACTGTGAAGCTGCTCTGAAATCAATAAAAATATAACAATCAGCAATATAAATATAACAGTCCCAAGAGTAGGTGCCTAGTTTGGATATCACAAAAATAATTATTTTGCCCCCCCCCCCTAGAGATTCACCTTTGGACTGTCCTTGCCTTCATTTGTGTATTTTTTCCATATCCTAACTGGCTAAATATAAAAAATAAAGGAATTTAAAAAAAAGCATTATAGTCCATTATGACTGCTAATAAACTTGGGTTCAATGTCAAAGCAAGCATCTTATTAAGCTTGAATCATCAGCCATACTTTAAAAAGTGTCAAATAAATAGTAAAATATTGGAAAATATTTTTATATGAATCTTACTTTGTGCTGAAGAAGGATCAATGAGATGTACAGAATTGGTTACTCTATACACCAAACAAATTGGTGAAATGCCACCCAGTTGCTGAGTCAATTTTTTGGGAAGACATATGACACTATCCTTAGAAACTGGGATGACTTCCACAGAGTAAGTGAACTTGTAATTGTACACATTACTGTGAATATCATGAGACATCAATTTTTTTGAGTGCTGATATTTACAAGGTAAACAGGCACACAAAAAATCAACCATTTTCCTGGCATGGGCTTCTGTAGTATAGAAGAAATCCAAACCACCTATAAATCATCAAAATTGTCAAGCACTTTCAACTAATTTTCAAATTATGTACTTACCATGCACAGGTTTGATTCCCAAAGTATTTTCATGTGCTTTATGTTTCAAAATGAGCTGTTCAAGGTAGTAGAAAGACTTTTTGTTTTCAGCCTTCTGTCTAACCTGAACAGATGCCCTCCAAAAATTTTGTGCCTCTGACCTATGACAGTCATCACACATTTGATGGGCAATAGTATATTCAACAACAAATATTTGTTCCAGTACTGCTCCTCCAACAACTTCCCCATGAACAGTCAGCTTGACCTTTATTCTTTTAGAGTGTGGCTCAGTCCACACGAAGGAGGCATCAATGAGCTTCACCCTGTTGAGCCCCTTCAGCTTCTTGAGACACAAAGACAACAGTTCCCTGGACTCCAAGGAGCACTGGACCCAATCTATAGGTGGCTGCAGATAGCGTTCGCATCCCCTGCAAAAGTGTAGGGTTGCTTGCTTTGGAATGCCCTCAGATATGTCGATTTGCGATCGTAGGCATGCTACACACATGTTGGCAGGATTTGGTTCTATTCCAATACCACACTCGCAACATAATCTAAAAAGAACATTAGAACATGTGAAAACTGAAAATTCAATTAATAAATGTATGATAAATCTCATCAGGTTTTATACATTATGTTCTTTGGTGGTTCTCCAATAACGTCTTCTTGAATATACTCCATTTTCGTGCACTGAAGTAAATCAAATCATTTGAGAAATCAAAACTAAACACGTTTATCTTTTCTTGAAGTTTGGATTCACCTTATAACCTAGAATCTTCTCCTTGTTATTATTATTAATGAAATAATCCAACCGTTCAAGTCCAAGCCTCACATGTTCACCACAGCCACAGCCCAGTGCTACAGTCCTCTTCTTTTTTTTTAGCTTTAGCTCTTTCTGTCACCTACGTGAAGTGGGCTGCCAAAGCTGGCTGCCAGAATTTCCGAACTTTTCAGATCGACCAGTGGCACACGTTTCCACCCTTTTTGGGTAGGGAATATCGAAATTCCTCAACTGCTTTTGTTTGCGATGATCCGATGTATAAAGCACTGCACAGCTGCTTTTGGGTCTCGAATCATTTCTATTGAGTCTATAGAATAATCATTCCTTACCAAATCATAGGCATGGAAGACTAAAATTTAAAAAATATTTTATTCAAAAAACTGCTCAGCTGCTTTTGGGTCAGGAAGGTAGAGGTAATCATGTGAAGAATCATGCTATCAGAAATAATTAATTCCTTGTCAAATCTTTTGGTAGACTCCACAAAAAAATATTTTCGAAAAATCTGTTTTTTTCATGTGGAGTCTACCATACGATTTCGCAAGGAATTATTTTCTGATAGCATTATTCTCCACATGATTACCTATCTTCCTGACCCGAAAGCAGCTGAGCAATTTTTTGCAAAAGAATGGAAACAAAATTCTGATAGCATGATTCTCCACATGATTATACCTATCTTCCTGACCCGAAAGCAGCTGAGCAATTTTTTGCAAAAGTATCGAAAAATAATATTTTCGAAAAGTCTTTTTTTTTTCGTGTGGAGTCTACCAAACGATTTCGCGAGGAATTATTTTCTGATAGCATGATTCCATACATGATTACCTATCTTCCTGACCCAAAAGCAGCTGAGCAGTTTTTTGCAAAAGTATGGAAAAAAAATATTTTCGAAAAGTCTGTTTTTTTTTCGTGTGGAGTCTACCATATACGATTTTGCAAGGAATTATTTTCTGATAGCATGATATTCTATACATGATTACCTATATCTTCCTGACCCAAAAGCAGTTGAGCAGTTTTTTACAAAATTATCGAAAAAAATTATTTTCGAAAAATCTGTTTTTTTATTTCGTGTGGAGTCTACCATACGATTTCGCAAGGAATTAGTTACTGATAGCATGATTCTCCACATGATTACCTATCTTCCTGACCCAAAAGCAGCTGAGCAGTTTTTTGACAAAGTATCGAAAATAAAATATTTTTTAAATTTTAGTCTTCCATGCCTATGATTTGGTAAGGAATGATTATTCACATTCTATAGACTCAATAGAGAATGATTCAAGACCCAAAAGCAGCTGTGCAAAGTGCAGTGCTTTATACATCGGATCATCTCAAACAAAACTAGTTGAGGTATTTCGATATTCCCTACCCAAAAAAGGGGAAAACGTGTGCCACTGGTCGATCGGGTAAGTTCGGAAATTCTGGCAGCCCACTTCACGTAGGTCTTCCTGTCATCCACAGTTCTACTGTCTTTCTGTGACTGAAACTGGAGCAGCATCTACGCTTCCGTTTTGTGTGTTTTGTGCTTTCGTGAGGCTTGTTTTCTTTCTTGTTGACGTTCAAGTTTGACATGGTTGTGACGTTTTTCTGTTTTCACTAATTTACAATTTACAACTTTACAAGTGATTTGAAGACCAAGCAAGAAGTAAATGCCGGATATCTGTTGATGGCTTTATTATTTACCACCGGCCATGTGATATTGGGATCCATTCTATTTCTCGCCGGCAGTATGTCAGATTCTTTTACCAAACAAAAAGTTTATATGAAATTTATTATTGATACTGAATGAACAATGTCTAATAACACATCAACTAAAGTGAGAGGTCCAGGCAGACCGCCTAAAAAGATAGTTTCTTGTACCTGGTGTAATGAAACCAAGCTCCCCTTGAAATATGTATTTCCTACTACAAATGGCAAGAAAGAGTTCTGCTCAGAGACATGTCTTGCAGAATTCAGGAAAGCCTATGTTAAGGGGGCATGCATACTGTGTGATAATGTTATTAGAGGCAATAACTCGCCGTCTAAGGAATACTGCTCAACCTATTGCATGAATAAACACCAGAAAAAAGAGCTTACCCATTCCAGGATTGCAGCAATAGCACCTTCTACCCCACTAGAGGGTTCCCCTGGACCATTCCAGTATGAAACATATCAACCATTCGATTGGGTTGAGTATCTGAGGGAGACAAACAGTGTGGCTGCTCCACTGGCTTGTTTCAAACAAGCACCAAATCCACCATTGAATGATTTCAAGGTGGGAATGAAGCTGGAGGCCTTAGATCCCAGAAATGTCACTTCTACTTGCATTGCTACTGTTATCAGCATTCTAGGGCCAAGATTAAGGCTGAGACTTGATGGGAGTGATAATAAGAATGATTTCTGGAGGTTGGTAGATTCCAGTGAGATACATACTATTGGGCATTGTGAGAAATCTGGAGGGATGCTGCAACCACCACTGGGTGAGTGCAAGTAGTCATTTTGTTTGGTTTCATAGTGAGCAGCTAGTAAAGAATGGAAATATTCAGATTTCTTTAAATCTTGGTTTTTCATATTTTCTTGTAGTGACATTAACATGGAAATAAATTATTCAAATTAACAACTAACATAGTCATATAATTTCTAGTAGAAGTAAAAGTGTCTGATTGATGTATTTTCTAATTTGGTTTTGTACTCATTCTACAAAATGATCATCTGCAATTGATCTCCAAAATTTTAGGCTACAGTACATTTTACAATCAGTGTGAAACTAGCAACAACAATTATTCCAGGCCTGCACCATACCACTGATGGTCCTTTATTACTAATTTATACTCCTGGCTGGCCATGAAATTACTAAAACCACCAAAATATGTCCCTGGACAAAACTCTATTCCATCAATGTATTCTTCTGAGGGTCCTTGATAATCTCTTTATCTCTTGATATTTTGTCAGGCATGAATTTACCCCACAGGCCTCCTTTTTTGGAATTTCAGAAATAAATCATACATGTGAATAGAATTTTTTTTTCTATGAATGTGTTCCTCTAATGGAACTTGATGATGTGTATATCTCACAATATTTTGTCAGCCAAGAATTAAACCCTCAGACCCCATTTTTTGAATTTCTGAAAAAAAAATCATTACTTCTTCAAAATACATGTGGATGGGAGTTTTTTTTTAAGAATATGTTCCTCTGATGATACTTGATAATGTGTATATCACAATATTTTGTCAAGCAGGAATTAATCCCACAGACCCCTTTCTTGGAATTTCATGAAAAAAATCATAACTTTTTCAAAATACAAGTGGATGTGGGTTTTTTCTATGAATGTATTTCTCTTATGGTACTTGATAATGTGTATATCTCACAATATTTTGTCAGGCAAGAATTTACCCCTCAGGCCCCTTTTTTGGAAAATTGAAAAAAAAATCGTAACTTTTTCAAAAGTATGAAAGAAAGTATGAAAGAAAGAAAACTTCAAATTATCCCTACACAGTTTTCTACACAAGTTTCTTTCGTGGATATGAGTATAATAATATAATTTAATCCATAAGAACTAATATAAATCTCCCGAGGCTACTCCGCTATTGGTGCTCTACTGTGTGTATGCAAATGAGCATCCCATTTAGAATGAAAGAAAAGCAATTATTGCGCTGATCAATGCAAATTCTTATGGAGCAAAAAAGCATTGCTTTGGACATGCCAGTCATTGACACTGGAGGAATTACCAACAATAATAAATAAGAGCTTAAAGTTCTCGAACCATTCCCAAACCTCATTGTCAGATTGGTAACAGTGAATCACGTGATACAATTTAGACGCATGCGCATTCGCTCGTAGAAAAACAGAATAGTTAGAAATATTAACCAGACCCTCAGGGCCTCGAGAGGAAGGAATAACATCCTTGAAAGCCTTAATCACTACACAAATCATCATAGTGGGCTGACGCCATGCTATTAGTGGACCAGAATAAAACTCCCTGACCAAACTCAAGCCTCCACAATTTTACTGTGAAAAATAAGCATAAAAAAACATGAATTTCAACATATTATTATCAGGTGATGGGTATGGTTCGAAAGATTTAGGCACTAGGCACTTCTGATAATAAGAGGGCATTTATGGAAGACGGTCAGGGACTCAGTGTTGCCAGTCGTGGCGATTTATCGCATTTACGGCTCCTGTTTTTGTTGAAATGCGACATTAAATCGAAGTTGGCGACTGTAGACAATTGTTGGGACATTCTGAAATTTACAGGAGATTAACATAACATTCGCAATCAAGTTTTGTTCTCTTCATCCTGTTGAACGCATTTCGCGACTTTGCATAGTTGCCACACTGTGTATAAATTATCGAATTTAGGTATAAGTCCAAACACAGATGTCCACAAAACTGTCCCATCTGAGTGATAAGAGCAAAAATGTTCTCAAAATGCTCAATCTGTCGAGCAGCCGCGGCTTGTCCTCCCCGCACTATGGGGAGGTTGGGCTTTAGGGGAGAAGAAAAAAAGAAGAATTGACCAAGAGGGGCCGATAAAAAGAATGAAAACTGAAGAGGATACCACCAAAGACAAGTTGAAAATTAATGAGTATCCGGCTAGCGTAAAAGTCTTGAGCCCCCATATCATGTTAGATCAGGTAGTTTTCCCTGAGATAACGAGCAATTCTGTCCATTCGTCGGCAAAACCAAAGTCTAACTTTCCAATACCTACCTACTCCCCCTATCCCAGGTCCCTGTGTAGGATTCCCTTTCGTGTGGCAAGAGATATAAACCCTCAATACATCTTTTTATCAAAATTCCTATCGACATTCCAGGCTTTCGAATGAACGCCAGCTCCTGGCCGATGTTCCTTCTAAAAACCCTCAACGGAGCCGAGATGGCCCCCTCGAAAATCTTCCAGAAAGAGCCCACCGGCCCCCGAACCAACCTCTTCCAAATCGGCCAGAAATTAGAAGCCGTCGACAAGAAGAACCCGCAATTGATATGCTGCGCCACGGTAGGCGCGGCCAAGAACGACCAGATCCACGTGACCTTCGACGGATGGCGGGGGGCCTTCGACTATTGGTGCAGATACGATAGTAGGGATATTTTTCCGGTGGGGTGGTGTGCCAAGTCGGGACACCCTATGCAACCGCCTGGACAGAAGAATAATCCGGGGGCGAACAGGTTTGTTTTTTCACCTTAATTTTTTTTTTCAGGCCAATCACTTTGGTAAAAATGGAGAAAAAATAGCAAGACATTCCAAACTTTCACAGAAGTTGTATTTTGGTGTTAAATGAAACTATAAGAATTTGCACCCTTGTACAAGATCGGCAACATTGTTAAAAATTGTAAATATAAACAATTTTGGTTATTTTGCAGGTATTACTATCAGCAATAACCTTTCTTGGGAAAATCACGTGAGATCAATTGCTAAAAGTGCATCCCGAAAACTTGGTTTTCTGTTTCTGGCCAGGAGCTATTTCACTTCCACTCAGCTGCTTATGATCTATAAGGCACAGATCCGACCTGTCCTGGAATTCTTTTCCCATATTTAGAGTGCAGCACCCAAACATACCCTGAAACTGTTGGATTCTGTCCAAAAATGGGCAATTCGTCTCGTGGGTGATGACTCGCCCACAAACTCACTCACTTCTCTGGAACACCGTAGAAAAGTTGACGATCTGGCTCTATTTTATAGATATTTTCATGGACGATGCTCTTCTGATATATCAACAATTGTTCCTCCCTTGGTAGTCCCCGCGAGATTAACCCGTCGAGTTGGCTTCGCACCCCTTCGTGGTCACTTTGGAGACCTGCAGAACATCTCTTTCCAAAGACTCGTTCATCCAACGAACAGCGAGGCTCTGGAATACATTGCCAAGGGAGGTGTTCCCCGAGGCATATAACCTCCAGAAATTCAAGAAGAACACCAATTCCTACTTTATTTCCCTTGGTTCTCACGATGTTCTTTGAACATTACAGGATATCCCTTTTCGTGGGAACCAGAACATAAAAAAAGTGTTCAGAAACTGTACCTGTGTAAATACCAGTATTGAACGATGGGTTGATTAACTGTACTAAGGTCGACAGTGCGGACTCTGGGAGATTTTGAAATATTGGAATAGATATATTATCAATTCCTGAAGCATTTTTGTTTGTTCGTTCCAGATTCAGATGGTCAAGGCCGGCCTTCACCGCCGCCCCGCCCATACCACCCCCTCCACCACCCCTGGCCGTTCCCCCCACTACCACCGTCACCTCCACGGCCGCCTCGGACCCCGTTCAATCGCCGGAGGCCGACACCTCCGCCTCGCCCCCTCCCCCCGTGCTCGTACACGTGCGCCGCGCCTGCTCGGGCGGGCCTCTAATAGACCCCGCCCTCTTGTCGGCCCGCCTCGAACACGCCACGCCCACCGGCGTCGCGCGCCTATTGGTCGGCCAGCTGCTGGGGGCGTCGCACAAGGCGGAGAAGGTGCTGGCGCGTCTGGGCGGGGCGGGTATCGAGGAGGAGGAGGAAGATTGGGAGGAGATGGCGGTGGCGCACGGTGGAAGGACGTATACGGTGCGGTTGCCGCGGTTAGGGAAGCAGGGGGATTTGGAGAAGGCGTTTCGGGCTCTGGCGCAGGCGTTGGGGTGCTGTCAAAATCTGTTTGGTGAGTGGTTTTTGTTCTGCTTTTAATTTCTGTTGTTTATGCATTCAATTCCATGTTTTTCGGGGGTAAATGCATAGGACATAATGTTTTTATCAATTACAACAACAACAAAAAACAATATAGATTCAATTGTTTCTAATTTTTTTCTGTTACAACAAGAAAAAAACAATATGGGTTCAAATGTTCTTAATTTTTTCTGCAACCGACGCAAACGTCCATTTCAATATCAATATTAGCTCTTGAATTGAAGTTTTTATTGTATGCAGTTCTGTCGTAGGTTTAACATATTCAACAACTTTATTTCACAATTACAAACTTATTGAACATTTTAATAGGCCCAACATAAAGATACCAAAGAAGTGTTAATACTGACAGTGTCCTCTTTGCGTCAGGTGCATTACATAGACGTCGGCAGTAATGGGAAAACGGGATGGTCATTATAACGTGTTACAAGTTCTTTGATTTTTATATTCTCTATTCATTTTTTATGTAATTTTTCAGTTTCTTTTTTTCCTGTTTTTTTCTTCTTTTTTTCAAATCCTTTTCTTCAATCATCTTCATTTTTTTTTCTTGTTTTCGTGCAGGTCTGGAGCAGACGACGAAAGAATGCCCCCTTTGCGGTCTGAACGCGTCGCCGTCGCCTGCGAAACGACGGCCGCCCGAAAAAGAGGCGGCGACGTCGACGACGCCCGCCGACCCGACGTCGTCACCCGCCACGATGGAGAAGGAGGCGCCGGGCGGGGGAGCGTCGGCCGCCGTTGCGGCGACGACGACGACGCTGGGCAAGACGCCGACGCACGAGTGGGGCATCGAGGAGGTGATCCAGTTCATCGAGTCGACGGATCCGTGTTTAGGGGTGCACGCCGATCTGTTCAGGAAGCATGTGAGTTGGTTGGAAATATATATTCGCGAGATTAACGAAGTGGGCGACATCTAGGTTACATAATACGAACTTCAAACTGGGGGAAAACAAACTGTTGTCTATGGATCAAGTGCATAGACTAGATTGCATACATCTTGCTGTAGCTGCAGTCAAACTTGGCAATGAAATAAAGTGTTGGCACTGTTGGTAGTGATGATGGTTGAGTTGGTTAATTTTTTACATTATTACATTTTAATTAGTTTAGTGAACAGTGAACGGGTGAAGATTGGAGTTCAAACAATTCAAACTGATTATGACAGCTACAACATGTTTGCAATACCCAGATTGTCCTGCTTTGCAGGAACAAATACAAATCCATTGTTCTACAGGAGTTCCTCTGGACCCCAACTTCAATTTCACTTCATGTGGGGAAGATTTCATCGCCGAAGTTTGTAAACAAAGTGCAAAAATGTGCCTTTTGTTGAAGTCTCCTGCCTCACACAAAATCACATGATTAGCACGGAGAACTGATTCTCCTTCCACTACTGGTCGGCTTTTTCCATCTAAATAGAGCAAAATATCTGCCAAAAGAACATCTACAACAGGCATTATTAGCGTTTTCGATCGAATATTGACAAATAATGTCAAGAAATTTGAAAACTTATCACTCTTACCCTCTTATCAGTACACAGTACACAAGCTGATGGCACTAATGGGATTGAGTTTGTTTGATGATGATGATGATGAAACCCGAGCGCCACCTGGTAACATTGATTCCCGCGAATATATACACTCACCGGCAAAATAATCGATCCACTCAAAATATTGATAAAATTTGATCAACGATAACTTCTTTAAGTCATGTCTGATTCGTTCAATTTTTTTTTTTTTCATTCCGTAGGTATATTCATAAAGAATCACACACAATGTTGAGATTTTGAGAAATGAGGCATATCTTCATATTATACAGAGTGACAAAAAAAGTGCATTTTTACTTTAATTCTAAAACAATCTCTGGAGTGGCTAAACTGGTACATCCTGTAATTTTTCAGTCAATCATCAATCTACGTTTATTACGAACATTTTCTTTTTTTATTTGTTAGGATAACTGCATTTTTGTGGAAGTTACAAGGATTTCAGAAGAACGTTACATTTCAACATTTTTTTCTATGGTAATAGCAGGGTTCCCCAAGATATTTTTTGCATAGCTGGCTGTGACAGACCTGTCAGTTGACAATTTGTATGCTTGTGTTAATCATCGAATGGTTGAATAAGATATGGATCTTTCTGCAACCGACTCTGCGAGAGCTATTGCTTTGGTGCAGGATAGTAGATCACAATATAATGTGGCCAGAGCTTTGGGAGTTTCAAGATCCAGGGTGCAAAGGGCTGTGAAACGGTTTAGTGAATTTGGTGTATTCACAAGAAGAGGTAATAGTGGTCGGAAAAAATCTACGAATGATCGACATAACCGCTTCATAACGCTCAAAGTTTTGAGGGACAGAAGACTTACTTCTGTCCAATTGAAAACGAATTAGAGGAGGTGAGGCAAATTCAAGTCAGCGATAGAACAATGAGAAGGAGGCTTTTCGATATTGGACTCCGAGCAAGAAGACCTGCAACTGTTCCAGAGTTATTGAGGAATCATCAAGTTAATCGCCTCATATATGCTAGGGAACACGAATATTGGGGTAATGAACAATGGCGCAATATCCTATTCACCGACGAGTGAAGGTTTTGTCTCAGATCACCGGATGGACGTGAAAGAATTTACAGAAGAACTGGAGAACGTTTCCTCTAAAACAATTTTTCGCCAAGAACTTGAAATTTTCCAAGAAAAATATGAATAGTTGTGTATCGGGCGCCCTGATTCCGAATCCAAAGTGATTTTAAATCTAGTTTGCCTCCTTTTTTTAGAACAATATCATTTTCCGGAAATTTGGGTGGTTCCATGGATGTTGGAGAGTAGTGTATATCACTGAAGATGACCCCACTTGGTCAAAGAGTGCATTTTTGGTATATCTCTCGCTCCAGCAAATTTCAGGATCCTTACCCAATGAATATGTAAGATACAGGGGTGTTTCCATTAGATCTGAGGCACACTGTATATATATCACAAAGAGAGAAACTCAAAGTCATTATCACATTAGTTCATAAAATGAACGAAAATAGTGTTTCCTTCCTAAACGCCGAGCTGCGCCTAAGTGGTTCAGGAACGCATGACTACCTGCAGACCGGTTTCGAGCTGTTGGCTCTCATCAGTACAGGGCTGTCCCAGATAGCTTCTTAACCGCTATCTGGTGCGAACCTGACCAAACGTAAACGCGTCTCAGCATGTATACCCCACGAGGCGTTCAAACGTCCGCGAAATGAACGTGAACGCTGAACGCCATCTGGCAAGGAAAAAAATACTCTAAAACCCGATCCCATTTTAGATAAAATGAGAGTGGCTGTTTGCCCGACTGGCGTGTTTTCAACTAGGAAAAATCCAAATACGCAAAGTGGAAAGCAATGGTCACAAAGAGAGAATTTATGTACACAGGGTGGCATTGAAATAAGTGGGAATATTTCAAACACTGAGAAAGCTCACGTGTACTATTGAATAGCTCTCATTAAAAAAAATAAGGGATCAAAATTAAATTTGAGGTTAGACCCTTTTTTCTACCCAAAGTTCTACACTGTAGCAAATCTGACGTCACCTCTGTTCAAATATCCATGCGGTAGGCACAATCACGCGGAGTTCAATCATTCAAATTGTTTCAAAGTGTCGTAATTGATTTTTTTCTCGTATTTTGTTCAATTTCTGGGATGAAATTTCTAGTTAATTAAAAGAATTAGAAAAAATCTGATATGGGAATATTCCTTCTTATTCCAGCACTCCATATCTCTTCATTTTTTCAACTACTCTTTATTTTGACTACTGTGTTAACAAAACATGTCATGTGACTAATGATTTTGTGAAAATCATCGTTTGTGAAGTTTTTACATTTGCTATGGATTTCCATCAAGTAACGGCCGAGTCAATTCAAAAAATGTATATTCATTATTGTTAACTACTTCCTTATACCAGAACTTGTCTGACTGGAAGTCACATTTTCAAAAAATAATGGATAAATAGGTGAATGAAATCGCTTCTTTTGAACGGGAAGGTTCGATATATCTCAAGCTATGGATATTTCAATTATTTATTTTCACGTCATCTGGTATAATTGACTTTTCGTTTCAGGAAATTGACGGGAAAGCATTCTTACTTCTGAACTCCGACATGATGATGAAATATATGGGGCTGAAACTCGGTCCGGCCCTCAAGATTTGCAATCTAGTTTTCAGGCTTAAGGGTAGAAGGCACATTCTTTAATTATTCTCAAAATTCAGTTTTCATATTTTCCGTACTCGAGTGTATAGAGTTACATTCACATAAGTTGATCAATTTTTGTTCTTTATTCAACAGATACCAGGGTATGTTATATCCTTCACTTCAAACTCGACTCGACTTTTTGAGTGTTTTTGGTGATTGAGCAATTTATTATTATATTATCATTTTTTCCTAGAAATGTTTGTGATATAACATTATTTTCTCTTAGGATTATGTTTATAGGTCCCATTTCTTTTATTGTACAGTTTTTCTCTTTCAGAAAAATGTTCAAACTGTGAATAATATTAGGTATATTGAGTGATTCGACTATATTTTTGACGATTTGTAGATTTAAGTGTGAATAAATTGTGCAGAAATTCAAAGGTAAAGTAAAAAAATATGAAGAATAAATGAATTTCATTATTGAAAGTGTTATTCCCCTAACATCTCAGAAAATACATAATAGTTGTATGGAAATATTTTCTGTTGATAATATCAGAGATAGTATGCAATGATATCCCTAGGCGTTCCGTTTCAATCAGCATTGACGTTTGTGGGGTGTTCAATATATGAAATGGGACGGAATCTAGTACTTGTTACACTCGTTATTGTACTGGTATTTTTTTTGTGGAATAATGAGTTGCACTCAGTGTACACAGATTTCATCAGTGAAACGCACTTTTATATTTCTTCAGCCAGAGATCAGTCACCCACTCAGCCAATGACGGCTAAATATCTAGACTGTCTAACAGGATGACTCATCGGACGAACGCGTGTTCAATTGATTTTTCAAACAACTATTTATTACGGAGGTAGTTCGCCATCTTGAGTATAAAGTTCGACCCCGAGAACCCCCAGATACCAAACTACAATGGAATCAGATCATAATTGAAAATGTCTTTCACTATATTCGATCCGTCATTGTGAATTTTACAATTTTCATGAAACATTCATCATCTCCTACCCCGAGAACCCCCAGATACCAATTTTGAATAGAATCGGATCATAATCATAATTACAAAACTCGATCCCCATATGATCTTCCTCAACAAGTAAATACCATGTACATACCACTGAACTATAGGGTTAGAGTTCAGACTTTAACGTCAATTTCCATCAAGAGACCCTAGACGAAACTAAAGTCTCTAGATAATTGAAAAATAATGCAGCTATGATCCGCCCGTACCCTGTGATGACTTCAACGTCAATTTCCATCAAGGGACCCTAATCTAGAATAGAATCGAATGTTGGCAGCACTGCGCTCATTCACATTGTCAGAAAACTGGAACATAAAAAAAGAAGAAGAAATAACCCGTCAGGTCAGACAGTCTAGATATTTAGCCGTCATTGTCCTGATAATCTTAAACTTTATATAAAATTGAATATCCCCATGGAAAATCCTTATTCCTTATTTGTTTTGTTGATGTTGATGCGTTCCTGAATCCTGAATATACTTTTAATTTTCCATTTTACCATTTAACAAGACAATGTTGAATCAAATTAAAAATAAAAATGAATTCCAGGCAGCTACACAGTAAGTATTGGAATAAATTTACCCACCATTCATACCCTAATAAATCCTGATTTTCCAGGAATCAAAACTTGTCTGTGATACATTTTCAAGCAGAATGGGCTGAACAATGTGCACAAGTGAATGAACTTCTAGAAGCTTTGGCCTCTCAACAAAACTATTCCAGTGTGAAATTCTACTCTTGCCCTGCTGAGGACTTTGCTGAAGAATGTTTGAAATACAAAATAGAAGCAGTTCCCACCATCCTCTTATTCCGATCTGGAAACCTATTGGAAACAGTCCATGGTGCTGATCCTTCAAAAATAGCTGAAGCAGTGAATAAACATAATTCTAGTGGAGACAGTTCTGCAGAACCAATTTTATTAGAACAGAGGTTGAAAGCACTAATTAAAAAAGCCCATGTTATGCTCTTCATGAAAGGAGATAGAAATACCCCACGCTGTGGATTCAGTAAAAAAATTATAGAGATATTGAATGATACAGGGTGAGCACTTACTTTTTTGGTTATTGGTTACACTGATATCCAATTCTTTCTGTTTGTTTCAGAGTTCCATATGAGACTTTTGATATCCTAACAGATGAAGAAGTGAGGCAGGGTTTGAAAAAATTGTCTGATTGGCCAACATACCCACAACTTTATGTTAATGGAGAACTTATTGGAGGTTTGGATATAATCAAGGAAATGCTAGCTTCTGGTGATTTAGAATCTGCTCTCAAGGGCTGATCAAAATTATAATAAAATATTTTAGTATCATCATTATTATTTTGTTCTCATTCAGGTTAGAGATATTTATATATGTTGCTTGGTTTCATGTTCCTGTGAAGGAAAATCAAATAAAGTGTTTGCAGCTGAAGTTGGAGATTTGTCAAAAAATAGCTCCCAAATAAAATGCACGATAGGTCGCGTGCACGAAGACCGACCCTGGAGGCAAAATATTTAAACACAACCTCATTCTTCTGTGAATTATTGAAACACAACCTCACTTTTTTATTTGGTTACAGGGGAATCAAAAGGTTGAAATAGTTTTTCACAATATTTTGGCATACGCATCGTGTTTCTTGCGTTATTCATTAATTCAAGCATGCCTTCGCATTGTGCTGTTGTACAATGCACAAAAAATGCAGCAAGAGACGAGGGAATATGATTTTTCAGGTAAATAGTAATCTCACATAGTTATCATTATGAAATGTTGTCATTCCATATTAAAATTCCTTCTGCCTTCTGCCACTTCTGCAATACAAGCTAATGCTGCTAATAGATTGAAAATGTCTACAACACACACGATCGTCAGCATGTCAGACCAGTCCTACCGATTGATTGCATGAATCCAATCTTCTTGCATTATTCTAGAAATTTCAGGTATATTTCTATTAGCTGATCCTATTGCAGAAGGAATTCCGATGAGAAATCAGAGAAATAACCAAATTTCAAAAATGAAAACTATGTGAGTGACTATAGTAGGTACTTACTTTTGAATCATAATGTACCATCCGGATTTCTTCATCTTCCGCTGCAGTTTTTGTGCATTTTACAACAGCACAATGTGATGGCATTAGCGAATTGATGAATAGCGGAAAAATACGATTTATATGCCAAAATAATTGTGGAAAACTATTTCGATGACATGTAAACAAATATGTTTTGCCTCCAGGGTCGGTCATCTGACAGTTCTTGCACGCGACCTATTACCGACCCTGGAGGCAAAATATTGAAACACAACCTCACTCTTCTGTGAATTATTGAAACACAACCTCACTTTTATTTGTTTACAGAGGAATTCACAATATTATGGCAAAGGAATCGTGTTTTTTGCGCTATTCATTAATTCAAGCATGCCTTCGCATTGTGCTGTTGTACAATTCACGAAAAATGCAGTGAGAGATGTAAGGAATATGATTTTTCAGGTAAATAGTAATCTCACATAGTTAACGTTATGAAATGTGGGCAGTCCTTATTAAAATTCCTTCTGCCTTCTGCCACTTCTGCAATACAAGCTAATACTGCTAATAGATTGAAAATATCTACAACACACACGATCGTCAGCATGTCCTCCCGATTGATTGCATGAATCCAATCTTCTTGCATTATTTTAGAAATATCACGTGTATTTCTATTAGCTCCTATAGCAGATGGAATTCCGATGAGAAATCAAAGAAATTACCAGATTTACTTCTTAATCATAATGTACCAACCGGATTCCTTCATCTTCCGCTGCAGTTTTTGTGCATTTCACAACAGCACAATGTGATGGCATGAATGAATTGATGAATAGCCGAAAAATATTATTCATATGCCAAAATAATTGTGAAAAACTATTTCCATTGTTACATACTTCTCTTGTGTATGTAATGAAGTTTATTATTCAATAAATAATCGGTTATTATAATATGTTGCTTTATTAACTTTTATTTCAAGTCACTGCAAAATAGTCGATACATGAAATATGCATGATACACCGAACATGATATGGCGTCCTGTCAGTTGTTGACGCATGTCATTAGACAAGACAATTGACATGCGACAACATGTCAGGGTAAAGGTTGATACACAAGTTGTGAAGCCTATGTTACATGTTTCCATTTTTTTTTTTTTTTTTTTTTTTTTTTTTTCTCTCTTCAACACCTAACATAATCCTTCAAATATGAAGGAGGTCGTTTCTCCCTTTTCCTGGAAGGATAGTTCTCTTGTTCCTGCGGATGGATGTCCAAAAGAGTTGTAGGCGTCTCCGTGGGTGTCTCTGCTGTCTGAGTGGTTGGTCGAAGATGGATTCTGTTTCTCCTCACTAATCCCCCTTTTTCTAGTTGAATGTTATAGGACTGAGGTTCTTCCGTGTTTCCTTGTACTACACCAGGGGTCCATTCTCTTATGTTTTGTTGAACCACAACCTTTTGTCCAAGTTCTAGCTTGCTAAGTTGTTTAGAGTGGTGTTATCCCACCGCTGCCACCATGTTACATACTTCTCTTGTGTATGTAATGAAGTTTATTATTCAATAAATAATCGGTTATTATAATATGTTGCTTTATTAACTTTTATTTCAAGTCACTGCAAAATAGTCGATACATGAAATATGCATGATACACCGAACATGATATGGCGTCCTGTCAGTTGTTGACGCATGTCATTAGACAAGACAATTGACATGCGACAACATGTCAGGGTAAAGGTTGATACACAAGTTGTGAAGCCTATGTTACATCCATCACTTGTAAACAAATAAGAAAAGTGAGGTTGTGTTTCAATGTTGTACCTCCAGGGTCGGTCATCTGACAGTTCTTGCATGCAACAATGATGGTCAATTACTGGACTCTGTCAATGAATGGCCCTGGATTGGTCATTCTAAGTAGAAAATTCAGGTTAAAACAATTGTGGAAGTGAAAGAAATCATGGCTAACAAATGATAATTGGATTTATTGAAATAAAAAAAATCATTCCTTAATGAAAGGAACCACCATTATACAGTTTTTAGCTGACTTCACTGTACTCCACCTTCCTAGCTTGTGTTCCTTTCCTGTGGCAACAATCAGTTTGCTAGCATCTGATGTGAAACTCAAACAGTTCACAAATCCCTCAACAGGAACCTTCAGAATCATTTTACATGCCTTGAAATTATTCTCCAACTTCCACAATCTAATGAATCCATCCTGGGAGCCAGACACAGCCAAATCTGCATTGGTCAAGGCTGCCAGAGCACTGATCCAATAGGGCTGCTGATTGCTTGGATCTATCCCATGAGCATCTTGAACAACACACAAGGGCTTTTTCCTCAACATACTCCACACACAGATTTGTCCATCATCCCCACCAGTGATGAAATTTTCTTCATTGATCATCTTGACATTGTCTATGTTTCCACTGTGGCCATTGTAGATTAACTGAGTTTCTTCAGTTATTTTCCATAACCTCAAGTCCCTACAACCACATGAAACCAGTCTGTCTTTGTACAGGGTGTCCATGGAGGATATGATGTTTTGATGGCCAAAAAGTGTTTCAACATATGCCATTTCATCTAGGCTCCACACTTTGGCTGTACGGTCTCTGGAACATGAATATAATGTGTGAGTGTCTCTTTTGAAGCACAGTCCTGTTATGGCATTCTTGTGACCAGTCAGTTTTTTTATGAATTTGAAAGATTGGGGCTCCCAGATGAAAATGTCACTGGTTTCTGTCCCCACAGCTAAAAATTTGTTATCACTTGAAATGGCTATGCTAAGTATTTGTTTGGTGTGTCCTATTATTTCTTCTGTATTAGATTGTTTTACAAATGGAATTACTCTTTCCTTTCTACTTTTTGTTAGAGAATATGATACTACTACTCCATCCTTACTTCCAGCAATGATGGATTGATCATCAGTAGTGACACATAAACATGTTATACTACTGCGATGTTCTCTACACTTCAGTATTTGTATTTGGTCCTCATCAATTCTTTTATATCTATCAGCCACAGTCATACGTAATCGTCCAGTTTCTTTCAAATAATCTTCCTTTAGCCTTTTGGAAATATCTCCTTCATCTATGTCTTCTTTTTGTAATCTAGCTCTCTCTTCATTTTCAATTTCTTTAAGATATATTTTCGCTAATCTCAGTTTCTTTTCTTGAGCTGTTTCACGTTCATCTTCACTAGAAGACACCTCTGGTTCTTCATTGTTGACCAAGCCTTCATCTTCACTGCTGGTGATTTCTTCATTTTTTGAAGGTTTGGCTTTTGGTTTCCGTTTCTTACTTTTATCAGTAGAATATTTTGCTCGTTTTATTCCATTTACCTGTTTACCCTTTATGAAAAAAGACATGGTTTTGCGGAAAACATACAAAAAAGAAATTGTTCATTCAAATTTACTTTACACGTGAAAGAAAGTTGAGGTTATGTCTTGAAGGAAGGAAAGACACTGACAGTTCTTCTTTTTTATTGATCCACCATAAATAAAAGCTTTTCAAACAAGCCGTGTGAATCTGGCTGCCTGGCAGCTGCTAGGATTTCCATCTGCCAGCATTTCCGATGTTACCCGAAGACCAGTGGCGTCACGTTTTTTCATTAAAACTTATATCTGACTGCCTGGCAGCAGGATTTCCATCTGCCAGGATTTCCGAAGTTACCCAAAGACCAGTGTCACGTTTTTTAATAAAAAATGTATTATGATGATTGAAAATTTTGAATAAATGTCTCATTTCCACCAAAAGGCTGATAATAGCATAGAATGATCATAGGTATTGGAATATATCTAATAAAAAGAAGAGTGAACCACCTACCTCTCCTAACCTTATTTTTATTTTCATTGTTCCTTTTTGACATTTGGTGGTGTGACAGTGTGACGTTTAGTTATCTTATATTTTCCATTATTTGATAGATAAGTACGAAAATCTGATAGAAAAAATGGTGAGTATCAGTTTTAAAAGATTCATCATGCCTGAACAACTACAAGCATTATTCTTAAGCGAAATCCATATGAATATATGAAATGTATTTATTGAAATCCAACTGTCCACACCCGGAAAACCCACGTGCTGAAACATTGGTTGTTTTTGTTTCAGGTTTCTTTGAATCCAGTGAGAATATTGAAACATGAGGCTGAAGAGGAGAAAGGAGAGATTGCTAGACTGAGCAGCTTTGTTGGAGCCATAGCTATAGGAGACCTAGTGAGAAGTACTTTGGGCCCTAAAGGGATGGATAAAATCTTGGTATCCAGTGGAAGAAGTGCAGGATCTGTAGAAGTCACCAATGATGGTGCCACTATTTTGAAGTCGGTAGGAGTAGATAATCCTGCAGCTAAGATTTTGGTTGACATGTCAAAGGTACAGGATGATGAAGTTGGGGATGGAACTACTTCAGTCACAGTCTTGGGTGAGAGAAACAAACCAACTTTTTATTTTTTTGTTTTATTGGAGTAGATAAGTTTGGCTACCCTTGAGAGAAAAGAAAACAGTGATGTCAAGTTTATGTGGATAACTATCAAATACTGAGAAGATATGAATAAGACTAATATCTTCTTCATTTCTTCTCATTTTTTATGTCACCAACATTCAAATGATCTTCAGCAATATTCTAACCTAATACAAATTATCATGATCTTAAACTGGAAATTTTCATTATTTCACCATGGATCCCTGAGGATAAGGACAAAAGGTAAAGAAACTCTCAAAACTAGATGTGTTTATGAGCATTCTTGTTATCTCTTGGAGCACATGAAAGGGAGTCCCTATGATTTTTTTATTGTTCACAAGATATAGGAAGTTTTGCAGGAAAAAAATGACAAAGCTCAGTGGTTATTCAAGAATTGATAAAATCAACAAAGAAAATTCATAATTTTCTGAATTTTTATTGATCAAACATTTTTAGAGAACAAGGTCATGAATTTCATGAATTTTTGTTTGGTTTACATTGAATATTTGAACTAAAGTTCCAGCTAGCCACATTTTATTAGAAACAAATTTTAAGGAGAAACAAATTCTTAGGTTGAAATATCAAGCAACATTAATTAATGTTTATGCATCTATATTCTATACCTCTATTTAAAATTACTTGAAAAAATTGATTAAGTGGAGCATTTTTTGGATTTTTAATTCAGCTTGCACATATTGTCAAGTCATTTGAGCATATCTCTATTTTTTTGCTGTATTCTGAATTCTCCAGAAAAATCAGTATATTATACATGTGCAGAGAAATTATTTGAAAAAAGATTGGCCCATATTCATTCTCAGAAGTTTGGACTATATCAAATTTTCAAAATGATAGTGAGAAAAAATCCAGCATATTTCAAATCTTCACCAATGAAAGAGCTATTTCTTGATTTTTTCACTTCATTTAATTTTTTTGAAAAATAATGACTATTTTTCTAGTATCTTCCCCTTCCTATAGATTAATGTTTTGGATTTAGTGAGAATTCAACTTAAAATCCAGCATTCAAATACTGGTCAAGGTACTGGTGTATTTTTTCAAATTCATCATTTTCAAAGTTCTGTCTAAATGTCATCATATCCAAATCAAATAAATAATATATACCTGAGTATGGAAATGTTGGAGGATACAGGGTGTTATTCATCATATTTTTGGAAATGCATAGCTTTCAGGAATTTTCATGGATAAATAGAAAAGGACATCTTCCCAGTTCTGTTTAAATTTGTCAGTATTATCAGAGTATTATTTGTAGTAATGAGAAACTAGTTGAAGAAAGTTTGACATCTTGAACACCCGCCACATATTCATTTATAACACCCTGTATAAGAAAATAATTTATCAACTAACACACCTCCCTAACCTCTAAAATCTTCTCTACAAAAAATATCTTGGTGGAATAGAGCAGCTGCATGGATCCTTATTGCCCAAACATATGTATTGCGTGGTATAGGAGACCAATCAGAGCGATTTTGGCAATGGCGGTAAATTCAAATCACTAATATTGGCTGTAAATTCGTATAAGGAATGATTTTACATCATAGTAATAGTCAATACCCTTGATTGGCGCAGAATCATGTCTACCGGAAATTTCCTGAAAAAACATCATTGAAATAGTCATTTACTATCGGCATCTATCGGCTTCTGTTATGCTATAGTTCCAAAAAATAAGCCAATAACATCGTCTCAGAGAAATAACTGCAAGTGCTTTCTTCTCCCATTTCACTTTGTGGTTATGTAAGTTACTAAACAATCACTAAATTCTCAATTTTTTAAAATTAAATCATAAAATTGGACTGGCAGATATTTGATTACTTCAAAAGAATGAAGAAGCCTGCAAAGCAGGTGACATTTCTGTCAAAAACTTCAAAGTCCACGTCGATAATGTTCTGATTTTAATATAATGTAATATATTCTCAATATTGATTCGTCCTTTTTACTGTCACAGAAAAAAAAGTATCATACACGGGAAAAATATTAGATTTTAGCTCGTTTGTCAACAAGCAGGCGCTTCTTTTGGATTCTTCTGATTGGTCTATAGGAATCGCCTATGCATCTATTTGGGCAAAACGAATTCGTGCAATTCAGCTAGGGTTGAGTAATGGAAATGAATGTATTCTCAATCTGTCCTTGTCTTCAGTGTTCCCACTTAAAATAATGGCAATTTCATGTTGGTTACAGTGAAAATGGGAAGATATGGAGAAGAAGATCATATAAACCTCAAAATAAAAAAGGTCAGAATGGTCTTCTTCTCCATTTCTTCTCATCTCCAGTGTTGCCAACATAAACTTTTTCATCATTTTATATTGGAACACTGAAGACAAGGCCAGATGCGGAAGACGTAATTTTTCTCTCGCCCTGCTTTTGAAATATTGGATGTTATCATTTGCTCCTTCTTCATTGGCAACATTCACGATTCTGTAAAAATTCTGTCACGTTCATTTTCAGCTTCCGAGCTTCTCAAAGAAGCCGAACGCCTGATCGAGCAAAAAATCCACCCGCAAACCATCATCGCCGGTTGGCGCAAAGCCGTCGACATTGCCAGAAAGGCCCTAGTCGACTCGTCGATGGACAATAGCGCAGACATTGAAAAGTTCCGCGAAGACTTGATGAACATCGCGCGGACGACGCTCAGCTCGAAGATCCTCTCACAGCACAAGGAGCACTTTGCCAAGTTGGCCGTGGATGCAGTTATGCGGCTGAAGGGCTCTGGAGATTTACAGGTAGATACATTGCCAAAGTACACGTGTCAAAAGTGAAATAATGAAAATTAGTATGAGAAGAAACGTAGAAGAAGACTATTCTAACCTCAAAATATAAAAGGCAGAAATATCTTCTCCAAATCTTCCTATTTTCACAGTGTTACCAACATGAAATCTTCATTATCCCATACTGGAAAAACAAAATTTCAACATTTCATTTCAAGGGTGCATTCAAATATGTACCCTCTGGAATTTAGTGTACTCATTTGCATTCAAAATTCGTCAAATTGTGTAAATTCTGCTCTGTGACTGTTGTTTAAGAATACTGGAGTTTTTGACGCTGTTAACTCCCCACTACTACTTTGACTTTGACTTGACTATTAATTCAGCTGAGCTTGAAAAACTTAACATTTCCAATATCATCCTCAGATATGAATAAACTAACTATCAATTCGGTGGTCTGAATAGTAATTAACTGAGAACATTGATAAACCCTTCAACTGACCTTACTTTACTCTGAGAGTCAATAATCAAATGCACCTCTGAGATCTCATTGATAGTTTGACATAAATTCATGTGGTACTTTGCAGGCTATTCAGCTGATAAAGAAGACCGGAGGGACCTTGGAGGACTCTTTTCTGGACGAGGGATTCTTGTTGGACAAGAAGCCTGGTGTGCATCAACCTAAGAAGGTAAGCAAGTGGTGGGAATTTTTGGAATGTCTAGAATTTCTTGGACTTCCTATAATACCTCAGAATTGCTGGAAATTTTTGAAATTCCTTGTTGAATGCAACGGCGATATTGAAATATTGACATCGCTGATTCATCTGATTGTCTTGAATTCTTTGTGATCCTTCTGTTTCTTGAAATTTCTAGAAAATCATATGGATTTCCTAAAATTTCTCGGAATTTTGACTCCTTGCAATTTCAAGAACTTTAAACGTCTCCTTGCAGGTGGAGAACGCTAAAATCCTCATTGCCAACACCCCCATGGACACCGACAAAATCAAAGTATTCGGCTCGCACATCAAAGTCGACTCGATGGCCAAAATAGCGGAGCTCGAGTCCGCCGAAAAGGAAAAAATGAAAGACAAAGTCAACAAAATCCTCAAACACAACGCCAACGTCTTCATCAATCGCCAACTCATCTACAACTACCCGGAACAACTGTTCGCCGACGCGGGGGTGATGGCCATCGAGCACGCCGACTTTGACGGCATCGAACGCCTGGCTTTAGTCACAGGCGGCGAGATCGTCTCCACTTTCGACCACCCCGAGCTGGTCAAACTGGGCACTTGCAAATTGATCGAGCAGGTCATGATCGGCGAAGACATCTTGTTGCGTTTCAGCGGGGTCGCGTTGGGCGAAGCTTGCACCATAGTGATTCGCGGCGCCACTAAACAAATCATAGACGAGGCGGATCGCTCGCTACACGACGCCCTGTGCGTGTTAGCAGCCACCGTCAGAGAGAGCAAGATCGTTTTCGGGGGTGGGTGTAGCGAGACGCTGATGTCGAACGCGGTGAGCAAGGCGGCCGCGCAAACGGCGGGTAAAGAAGCGTTGGCCATGGAAGCGTTCGCGCGTGCGCTGTTGCAGCTGCCTACTATCATCGGCGACAACGCGGGGTACGATTCTGCGCAGTTGGTGAGCGAGCTGAAAGCTGCGCATAACAGCGGGAAGGATACTATGGGGCTGAATATGGATAAGGGGGAGATCGGGGATATGAGGAGTCTGGGCATCACTGAGTCGTTTGTGGTTAAGAGGCAGGTGTTGGTGTCGGCTTCTGAGGCGGCGGAGATGATTCTGAGGGTGGATGATATTATTAAGGCTGCTCCAAGGAGGAGGACGGAGGATAGAGGGCACTGCTAGTGGTTGAGCTGGTTCTTGCCTACAAATTATGCTTTCATCTCAGTTTCAACACTCCGCGTTCATTTATACTATTAATATTGTAACTTTCGGTACTCACGATTAACTTAATAAATCTGATTCGTTTAATACATTACTGATTGTTTTTGTCTTTCACCTTTCATTTCGAGGCCTATTGACTTTTAGAATCTGAATTTGGTGAGCAGTGGTATCAAAACGAGATATCGAAAATGGACATCAGTCATCGTAATTTTTACGCTACTGTCGTACCTTCTCGTCATGTGTGAGATGTTAATTCGCCTCAAGGTCAGTAGAAGACATTGAAAATTACGGGAAAACTCCTATAGATTGAAATTTAGCCATGGTTTCCCGTAGTTTTTATGCTTTAGATGTCACATTGAATTTGTTTATTGTGTAATTTACATTTTATTTGAAGTTTCGATACTTTCAATTGATTCAGTTTGGAATATGAGGAAGTGAATGAGATCATTGGAGTTCAAAAAGGAAATCGTTATTTGTTTTATAGTAGATAGTGATGGAGACCCTGATTAGTCTTTGGTAAGGTACTTGGATAGCACAGATCTTATACGAATAAAAGAGATGTATAAATTTCTATACATCTCTCGTATAAATATGTTTAGCAAGCTTTTAGCAAGGAAGCCAATTTATAGTACCTCCCACGTTACTCCCACGGGAGGTATTTTTTTTTCTCCCGTGTGGGTGAATTGACAGCAATGAACTCAATATAAACAACCTGTAAGAGGCGCTGATATTCTCACATTTTTCATAGCCTTCGGATAAAATAACATCAATATAGAACTGCCTAAATCTTTCGAACTATTCCCATCACAGGATAAGTTGAGATTCGTGTTTTTTGAAAACGTCCACTGGGTACAGGACATAACGGATCATCGGAACCTGAAGAAGAAGAAGACTACTTTTTGACAGTAGCAAATTAGGTTAAAAAAGTGAGGTTATCATTCATACTGAATCGGTTGTATCCTGTATTAATTTTTCTATGTTATGTCTGATTGATTGAATGGGATCCTTTCTGAGATGAGTTCATCTAATATCGTCCAATACATTGTGGTACGTAGTGATCTCGTAAAAGAACTGAAATGGCCTGTAGGTGCGGTTATAGCCCAAGCATGTCATGCTGTGGCAGCTGTAACTCACCTTTTTTATCAAGACGAGCACACTCAACAGTATCTAGCTGATCTAGATAATATGCACAAAGTTGTGTTGCAAGCACCAGATGATGGTAGTCTCCTAGCTCTCAGAGACAAACTTGAAGAGCACAATATTAAAAATAAATTGTGGATAGAACAGCCAGAAAATATACCTACTTGTTTGGTGGCAAAGCCCTATCCTAAAGATCAGGTTCAGAAGTATTTCCAAAAGTTCAAGTTGTTCAAATCAGATTGAATTAGGTACCTAGCTTGATGAACAATATTATTTATATATTTAGGTGCTTGTAAAACACTTATTCATCCAATATTGAATGTTTCATCATCAAATTAATGTTGTTTCCTCCTGACATTTTTCTGGGATGTGTAAAAGAATAATACCCTGTATATATCTTATTTAGGTATCTCTATTTCAATAAATACTTACAATATTAATGCAGTATGTCTTAAATGAGAGATCAACTAACCTCCTTGAATGTGGATTTTTTAGAAGGTAGTAGATATATCACAATGATGACCACTGAAAGTAAAATTAATTAGTATATGAGTTTTTTTTATCACTGAGAAGTGTATAGAATGTTTACTCACAAACGTGAATTGCAGCAAAAATGTACAACATATAATCACAAACATTGTACATCAAAGGGCCTGTGATATTGGAACCAGCCATTGCTCCTAACCTTCCAAACATGAGTGATACTGCCAAAGCCATTCCCCTTATCTCAGTTGGATACAAATCCACAATCACAGCATTCACTATTCCAATGGTTGGTGATACCAACAAAAAAATACCTTGAAAAAATTTAAACCTCTATTATTATACTATAGGAAAAAACTATGGAGAATTCAAAATCAGAATCTACTATTTCGTGAATAAATATCAACTTCTGATTCCTTCAAAATAAAACGAACATTTCCATCTGCAGCACAAATTGAGAATCTTGACCTGTACAAATATTAATTTTTCTACTCACATAACTAAAATGGCATTTAGCGTACGGATATATGTACCAAGCTAAATGATAGATTAATCACGTATCGTCGATCTGTGATTTAATGAAAATATTGAACACGTTACCCCATGGCAACACGATTTATCAAACACATTACCATGGCAACGCAGTTCATTAAATGTCTGGAGTGTATTAACTGTTAACTGTTATTTTCAAATTTCGTATCAAAATTATTCTAACAATATTCGTCTGTATCAGAATTCTTCATTAAAAATATTTGCGAAAAGTAGACGAAAGTGAAATCGAAGAGAATGTTCTGGTACTTGCATATCGAGAAGTGTAAAAATGAATAAGCATCCATCTTTGAGAACAATTTATTTATTCTGCGCTAAGCATGACAATAAACGTGAAACAAAGGTTAGTAAGCAATGGACTGGACACATCTACAACCAATATCACTTATACGTGTCTCGCAGGTTGCATGCAGTTGCATGTATTATGTTCTCAATTCCCATTCCTTTCGGATTATTTTGTAGGTTAGCAGGAATAGCAGGTTATGATACAATGTAATTTCCAGAGTTCGTAGAAAAAGCATAGTATGTAACGCGTTTATAAACTCTTCTAGACACTCGTTTATTAAACACTCGCTCCGCTCTGCTCCGCTCGTGCTTAAAATACTCGTTACTAAAAGGACGTTTATAACACTTGTTACATAATATACAATTATGCATCCAAAACCACCGAATACGACTAATTTTTGGTAAAAAATGTACAGTACATATAGGCCGGAATACCCCGGATCCTTAACATCATATATAGATCCCAAACTTTTCTTTTCTCAACTTGTAGGTATTCATGGTTCAGTACAGTAATTTCTGAAAAAATGTCCACCGGGAAATGGGCTGGAAAATGGCCATCAATGATCCCGAAAATCCGTTTTTGGTCGATATCTGCCGAAATATGACACTAAAAACAAGTGGGGTTCGGCTAGAAATAGATGCATGGCAGTTCATTACCTACAAAAATGGCCCTTATAATCCTTACGCTGCACTTATATTTCTTGCAGAAAAAGGGTTGTAAAAATCCGTGCATTTTGAAAATTCCGGAAACCAAATAAAAAACGTTGTTTAATAAGAATACACTGAAATTATTTATATTGATCCTTTCGGCATACATTTACCACCTACCAAAGCCCCATTATCCAAAAGGATTCGGTGAAACTACTCTTGATTAATAAAATTTGAACAAAAACAAACTAGCTAGATTTTTCAATATTTCAGAAAAATAAAAAGAGGCGCAACAGCTTGAAATCTAGGATATGGCCCGTTTATATCGGATAGTCTCGGAAACAGTAAAATTTTAGACAAAAATGTGTGTTTAGACAGTCATTTATGTTGGCCTATATCGGATTTTGGGTACCACGGAGCCATTTTCTTGCCCCTCTAGTCATTTCTTGCTGGACATTTTTTCAGACAATAACCTACCAATAAACACTTACAAATTAAAGAGAAAATCTGGGATCTATCTTTCGTTTACTAGGCTACTTCAAGAGAAAATAGATGAGATCCGCTCCACTATAGTCACAATATTAGTGGAGCGGTTTCAACTGAAATATTGATGAAGGAGGTACCTCGATTGGTACTGAAATGAAAAACTTACCTAATGCAATCAGGATGTAAGTATAACCACTCAGAAACTGAGCGCAAATTCCAGAAATCGTCGTAATTATTACGAATCCTAGCAATAGTCTTCTTGTACCGGTTATGTTGATGAATGTACCGATGCAAATATAACAAACCCCGAAAGATGCTCCTACAAGCATGGTGACCAGAAAGACCTCTTCATTTATAATGTCGTTGCACATTTTTGGCTGAAGAGAAAGTTTAAAAAAATTGTTTGGTCAGTATAAGATAGCTACACCTTATGAATTTATGTAAAAAACTTTTTTATATAGGTTTTATCATCTTATAATTAGGTATAAATGGATATGAAATATAAATAATGAAAAATATTTTGATTTGATTTTTGATTTTCTCTCAAAAATTAAAATATTGATATTTAAAATTTTTTGTGGACCAAATTTTTCATTGTGTGTATTTCTATAGACATTACAAATCGACTAAAATGTTTAGTCAACATCAAAACAAATAACATGAATAACAATTGACTTACGTTACTATCTACGAGTGACTTGATTATAGTGGAATTTGATGATATGGCATCAATGTCGTTGATCTCTTCCTCATACAATATTGACTTGCATATTGTAACTTCTTCCTGTGGTACTATTTTTCCATATTCACTCATACTATTTAGAATTTGTGGGTACCACATTATTACCGAAGAAGATCTAAATGATAAATTTCATGAGTAATAAACAAGGTGATTTCGAAATAAAGTACAATTGTATGGTGGAGTCTCACGAATCTTTTTCCAAAATACAAGTTTTCCAACTAACAAGAAATTTTACTTTGTAAAAAGGACAGAAATGAATCCGCAGTTATTATCATTGTACTTACGTGAGAAAAATAGCAAAATGAAGATAACTGACCATCAATGTCTTTGTTAGATAGGTGATTTTGAACAGGGGAATCGTTTGTTCCCACATGGATCGTAGCCATCTCTCGTTTTTCTCATGGTGAACGCTAGATCCTTCAAACGAAAGTATAGAAGCTACAGGATACTCGTCAGACTTCTTTCCAGTATTCAAGGAAAACATTTTCTTCAGTATGGTCAAGGCTTCTTCGTTTTTGCCCTGGGTCAGCAAATATTTCGGACTTTCTGGCAGAAACCATGCCAAAATGGCGAAGAGTAGGCTAGGGAGGCTATATACTATCATTAGTATTCGCCAGGATCTAAAGAAATAGAATAATAACAATATATAGTTACTTTCGTAACGAATGCATATTGGGGCAATTTTTTTAACAGGACGAAGGATGTAGAACTCATCAAAATGGACAAAATCTCCAGAAATATACCATATAAAAGTTGCAAAACAACGAAGTTCAAAAATTCAATGATAGGATTGGCCCTATAACGGTCCTGATATCTTTACTTTTTCGTTTATAAAAACACCCTGTGTGTCACGACACCTTTTGACCAAATTAACGAACATTTGTGGTTTTGGATAACAGAAAAATCTTTCCGTCTAGGTACGCACGATGTTCGTGTAAATAAATAATAGTAATAATATCAAGTAATTATAAAAAAGGATAACAATATACAATTTTAAATTCAATGTTACAGTTTTGTCCGTTTTGTTCATTTTGTATCTCAACTATGACGTCATTTTTTCTAATCGTATTTGATGTAATGATATGTTATGTGTATACATATATACTTGGTGATATTACTGAAATTGTGATTCTCGGAAATGAAACTATTCTATTCTATAGGAATCCCCTTTCGCGCGCTCCAAGCGATAAAAAGAAAAATATATGTTCATAGCTGAGGAAGCATATCCTTTATTTCGAATTACACCCTGTATATCATTGGCCAAACATAATTCTGTTGTAGACAGGAGATCAGTGGAGTAGATATTGGTGCGGCCAGGACCGTAATGAAATTGTTTAGAATGTGTGAAATGTTCAATTGATAATATATATCTTCGTTATTGTGCAACTTTGGTGGAATAAAATGCCTCACCATTGAGATCACCCGGTATAACTTTCAAGCGATTGATGATCATTTGTTCCAAAGACTCTAAAATTTTGATATAGGTACAGTGCTGCTCAATAAATATGTAATGCCTATCAATCTATATTCAGTAGTAATACTACAAGTGAAACGATTTGTAATTATTGTGCAGGATGTTTGAGATGTATAACCTCGAAGATTCTGAAGTTCGAATTGTATTCGATGCGATTATTTTTTGAGTAGGCTGAAAAAACGTCAAAATTTGACGACGCGCTTTGTTTGTTTGTAACAATATGAATTAGTAAGTATGGCAATGGAAATAATTCTAAATTCCTGTTTGGTGGAGCTACCCTTGGTATATCCCCGTATATTCAAAATTAAACAAGGTAGCTTAACTCATTCGATCGTTCTGATTGGTTTCAAATCATACGAAGAAAATAATCGAGGCTATATTGTTATATATTGGATCTATATTCTATTTGATCCAGACCAGGAAAGAGTCATTTTTATCCTGATATCTATCATGAGACAAAAAAAAACAAAAAAAAAATGAAAAAGGTATTGAAGTTTGATGCGAACACCCCTTCTGCCGCAAATAAGTTTCAGAAATACATTCTGAGAATCGAAAAAAAATAAATATCAAAAACTTGAGAAGAGTGAATTTGGTCATAATGTTGATATTTTCTCTATGTAGTTTATGGACAATCTCGGTCTTTCGAACTTTGATTGATTACCTGGGTCATAATCAACTGCATTTCGAAGAAGCTGATTCTCATGAACCTCAGCTTTTTCGAAAGTCTTGATGTTTCATTCTCTAATGACGGACACGATTGAATAAGGGAGTTATTATTCAAGCTGTGAGAACTTTCTGTTCGAAGTCAACATCTTCAAGATCTCGCATGAAGTCTATCCAGAACACACCTTCCTGCGTTGAAAGATTTCATCTCTTGGAACGTGATCTCCCAGCACGAGAAAAACCGGATTGTGATCAGAAGACATGGTACTTAGAGTGAATATCTCACTATTCCAATAAGGAATATTCATCACACAAGAAAATTATCCAAGACATCAGCTGAATTGTTTCCGAATTGGTAGTGAGTAGGCTCATCAGGACCGAGAACCATGTATTCATTTCTAGCAAAGTGCAGTCTCATTTTAACGTTCTGATTGGTTTAAAATTATACTAAGAAAATAATCGAGGCTAAAAATACTATATTGCCGTAAGATTTCGAAAGGATTTTCACACTAGCCGGTATGCTTACTATTATTGAGCAGCGAGCTGTACCTGGCTTATTTAAATATAATCTCTCCTGGAGAATGTAGGAGGAATGACAGATTAATACATTCTTACTTGGGGGTAATTTCCAGTGGCAAAATTAACCATGCCATTCCGGGTAGGAAAACGTTTCCTAAAGCTACGAAGGTCGCAATCCAGGATACGACTTTGGGGCGGTATTTGTTGTCGTGAAATTCCCCAGCATAAGCGTAGATTATTGCGGACGAACCACCAATCCTATAAAAACAAAGTTATAAGTTCTGCATATTTTCACCATATCCTCTACCATACAGGGTGTTCATCATCATCATTAATTTCGACATTAATCAGTGGCGTACCATCAATGTCTGCCAAAATTGGTATATGTGAAAACGAACGCCACTGGTGGCAACCGAAAAAGAATGTGGTACATTAACTGATGCCTCTTGATACATATAGTACATGTTTGTCAAATTTCTTTAGAATATCTGAAGTGGTATTACAGATATTAATAAAAAACCATTAATTTTCGAGAACTTTACCACCCTGTATCAAGAGTTAGGACGTTTAGGTCATACGTTCATATGGAACTTTCTTCTCAGAATGGGCCCAAGAATCGCCTCCCCAAATATTGACATCCAATTATGAAACACAATGTATGTCTATCAGTGTATAATAGAGAATAATATTCATGAGCTCTCATTTTTGTTGTATATCGGGGCAATGTTTCATATCTACGAAACGAAAAATCGTACATTTTTCAATTCCTTCCTGTATTTATTGAACCAACAGCTGTTAACCGACAGCTTTCATTGTAATGGACCCATGAAAATACGATTTTCCCAATTTCCCCAACATCATGTATAAGCAATTGGGCAAAATTAGACACTATATAGGAACATCGTTCGTACCTAGGAAGGTACATTGAATTAAATCCTCGCGAAATCTATGCATCGACTCGTATAAACGAATACTGATGCAACTGATTCTTTCCTGAATGATGCCTATTGATTTCGATATAGCCAGGCCATGCTAGACACCTACAGACCGGTATCGAGCTCTTTGACTCTCATCAGTGCAGGGTAGTCTCTAGCCAGCAGTCCTAAGACCGCCGACTGAGCGTAGCCTAGCCAAACAAAAATCAAGTCGGCATAATATGCCCCCAGAGGCGTCATTCATAGACAATATGAAAGCAACGCCAACTGAGTAGAAACGAAGTTCTAGTTTCAGTTTCGGGAGCTCTTTCGTCAGGGGCATTTATTTGTGAACATAACGAGATATATTCAACCGTAATCCTCGTCTGTAAGTTAAGTTCTGGAGCAAAATCAGATATATTCCCAAATTCGCAAGCAGAAATGGTTGGCGGACTCGAGTCCAACGTGAAGGAATTGATAGTACTGAAGATAATGAAGTAGATGAAAATGATGAAACATGCACAACATATATTAAAGATAATCCTAATTCATAGAAATTTCTCCGATTCTGGTGCAAAAGAAAATATATCCATTATTATTTCTGTTTATTGACCTCAGACCTGGATTTTCATTGCAATTCATGTAAAAGTGATCGATCCTATTTATTATTCAAATTCCATTTCATTTACGGTGAAATTGTGCTTAGTTGAATCAGGCAATAGATAGCAGACGTTTTTGTCAGTTCTTAAAAAATTTATGAAACTGGATATATCTGTAGGTTGATCCACATCTTCCCGTTTCTATAAGATAAACATATGAATATTATCTCAATATACGTGTAGTAAGGACAAATCAGATGATTTGCCCCAAAATGTCACTGCGTTTAAAGAATTTTCCTATCAGAGAGTCTGAACGAAAAATTCACTAGCTTGTCAGTAACAATTTGTATTGAAAAAAGTTTGGAGAAGAGAAATAAAGGTATATAGAAAAAATTTCAAATTTTTACTTAGCTTTGGACGTTTCGGGAACAAATCTGCTCCCGTTAGCAACATAAAAAATGGATTTTTGTATTATAAATTCGTATTTGTCCTAACTCTTTTCAGTTCTCAGTGACAATTGGAGACGTTGGCAATCTAATAAAGAACAATCGTCAAAAAATTGTATTTACCCCTACATCGTGGTATTTACAGTATACCTTGTTTGTGGAAAGTTTTATTCAGGTGAAACCAAGAGACTCCTTTCAGTAAGGACGAAGGAACATAAATACAACATAACATATCCTTACTGAAGATGGACAACATACGGCAAAGTGAAATAATATTAAAATCCTGTTAAAAGAAGATAATAACCAGAAGAGAAAAATCAAGGAATCTGCTTGCATTCTTCTGAACGGAGACAATAGCATTGCTTCCTGTTCAGTTGATATAGATAGAACATGGTATTTATTGATAAATGGAAACATCCTGTAACTCATTCGATTGCCAACGTCACCAAGGTCCGAAGCTAAGTATGAATTTGATATTTTTTCTATATACCTTTATTTCTCTTCTCCAAACTTTTTTCAATACAAATTGGCTCTCTGATAGGAAAATTCTTTAAACGCAGTGACATATTTTGGGGCAAATCATCTGATTTGTCCTTACTACACGTTTATTGAAATAATATTCATGTATTTATTTTCTAGAGACGAGGAGAGAAAATCCCAAAAATCTAGAATCATCATCATCTTTATTATTCCCAAGAAACAATTGACGTATATGTTCATAACAGGGAACATTAAAAAATAAATCATAATGTATTACATTACATTCAAAATATAGTATTTATATAGGTACAATATATTTATTCTAGTAATTCTCATAGTTTGAGCTGATCCTTGTTTGAGTGAATGAATGATTAAAATAATTGATATGTTATATGATCTCAATATGGATGACATGACAAAATTCAGACGAATAAATATTTTTTGAGTTCTTTCTTGAATTTTTTGGTATTGATATTTTTTTTTCAAGTCTTGTTGGCAATTGATTGTGAAGTAATAATCCATTGTAATATATAGATCTCTTGCCAGATTCAGATTTGATTTTAATGGATATATCTGGTATTGCACGCGATCTCCTCAATATAAGTACTCACAGAAATCCATTGAGGAATCTGAGCGCTATGAACAACCACGTGGCAGACACCTGGCTCCCGACCAAACTAACCGCGCAGCTGAGCACCAACGATACCAGCACCACCATCTTCCTGCCTCTGGTGTCTGCCAGGAAACCCCACAGGTGCGAGCTGGACACCACCCCGAAGAAGCTGATGGAGTAGAGGATACCCTTTTCCTCTAGGGAGAGCTGCAGGTCGCATTGGGCTGCGGGGATGATGAACATGGCGCTCATGGTTTCGATGATGACACACATCAGGCAGCCGCCTGTGACCAGCAGGGTGTACAGGTTGAAGAGACCGAAACCTGCAAGGATTCAACAATTTTCATTTACTCACCGAATCCAGTATAATCGAGAATATTCCTTTGCTCCATCGTATAAGAACACAATTTTGTCAATATACATTATACACCTTCGGAAGGGACAAAAATGTTACCTCCCACATCTCTGAAACACCCTGTATAGATCTTATGAAGGTGTACCGGTTTTGGGAACTCCAAGTATACAACATTTTTATCATGATAGAAATATCATAATATGATTTATCACCTATCTACATTTCATATTAATCAGCCAAAGTGGGTGCAATAATTAATAGTGTTTTACTGAGCGGTTGCATAGTGCAATATTTTTCCTTTTATTGCAATCAAAAATACTGTTTATTCATTTCGAAATGTAGATTATTCATTTCCAAATTTTTAATATCAATATTTTCGATCAGTTTTGGTGACGTTTAAAAAATGGGAACGTGTGAAGCAGGCAGTTGAGCAATTTTGTTCATTGGTATCAAACTGAGGATTTGATCAACGGGTACTCTAGTATCGTACAGGGAAGGTTCTTGAAAAATAATGCTACACGTTCCTCCGATACACGCTATCGTGAAAACCCACAGGAAAAATCTGTCGAGCACCATGGACACGAATTTCCAGTCCTCTACAATCTGGAACACAACAATTCAAATTAACTACAGATATAATAGTTATTTATGTATTAAGGGAATTATGAGGGCCTTAATTACCGATAATACCGATGGCAAAGTTTGCGTCCCGAGGGCCTCTGGCCCGAGGGACAGCAATTGCCAGAGGTTATTAAGGCTCTATAATTCCCGTGATACATAGATCATTTTATTTCTGACTGATTTCATTCATTAGATACCTTCTCGATTGGAAGTTAGACATGTTTTTCCGTATAGTTTCAATGTCATCAGAACGTCAGATGATGATCTTGACTACCGCGAACAGGAGATTCCTTATTGCTACGTTATTGCGTGGTTGTTGCTATGCATTTCTTATTTAATTTTAGCTAGAGGGAATTATAGCATCTATAACATTCCAAGGGAGTTATGACCCTCATTATAGATATCGTAACTATGACGATATAAGCTTATAATGTCACTGTAAGAAATAATAGTTATTTATGTATCAAGGGCGTAAAGTAGGCGTTTATGGCCTGTGGCGTGAATAATGGCCCGACGGCGCTAGCCGAGGGCCATAACACGCTGAAGGCCATAAACGCATTTTACGCACGTGATACATACAAAATTTTATGCACTAGTGGTCTATTTACTGACTCAAGAGTAATGACTATAACTATATGACTATAACTAATATTCCCTCGAATTTAATTTGTTACCTATAAACTCACTAATCAAGAGAAGCGTAATGTTCATGGATGATTTACATATAAAAATTATCCTACGGATATTGCAATTATTATAATAGTAAAATTCTTTGGTCTCTAGAAGAGATTCATTCTTCAGTCCACAATATGCATACCCAGTATATATACCTACCTAATTTTGACGTTGTCAAGCGAGCTAATGGTTGTTGTCAATACTCTATAGCAATACATCCAATAAACAGGCTGAATTGTAATTCTTTAACTGAAAAGTAATAATTAGTGATAATACTAATAGCCAGACTATGAAATCGGATGAAGAAGAACTTCATGATATACCGCTGGATATATTAGAATCTAGTAAAATGATCATATGTTTTCCATGAATCGATATGTGGATATCAAGAAACTAAGAACAGCAGGCGGTAAAGTGCAACTTAACGCCCGTAAAACCGGGCGGTAAAGTGCCCTTTACGGCCCGCTAGTGCATAAAAGGATTTACATACGGAACCTTCGATCATACAATCAAATCGATTACCTACCTAATTTTCGGAATTTCAACCACAGTTCAAGGAAATGAATTAATAGATATCCACAAATCTACAATATTTTGTTAACAATTATTATTATGTAATTTGTCAATTGATATTGGTGGTTGTGGTTTCTTGGAGCATCTGAGAGACATCAGTCATTCTATTATTGATGTAAAAGGCCATAATTACCTGTTAGGGTTACTGCTTCTTCAAATGGTTTTGAAGCAGAAGAAGTAGATACCATTGCCATAATTACTGCCCAAATTGAGAAAACTTGTGCATGAGGAACTATTTTTGAATTGTTTTGGAACTTTCAAACCGTGTCATTGATAATAATCACTATCACTTCAGTGTACATTATACTTATACTATATATTATGTTCATCTGATGTGTTTGGTAAAGCATTATATTTTATTTTACGTAATCATGATAACCATTTTTTTCTCTCAAGTTTCTCCTTTATTATACATTATTATGTTGTTTCCAGTTCATTTGAATTTCGCAGTCAAATTTTGCTAGCTGCTATCGTCTGTTAATTTCCTTATCATTTATTGATGTTTATAATATAAAAAGATTAAATGTTATGAGATCTTTCACTAAATAATTTGATAAGTTGTTTTTCACGACAAACTAGTGCTGCAATGTCATATTATTTCTACAAATAGATCTGTTGTGATTTCTATTAATCAATCAATCAGTTAGTTCATCGATTTAGATGCTATTCAATACATAGCACAAAATGTTTGTCCTACACTATATTTCGAATTAATCGTAATGGAAATGAAGAAAAAAATAGTCAAATGGTCTTAGACGCAAAATACACAGAGTGAATAGTGCATATAATATAATACAGTGCTATTTTTTAGCAGATCACCTGTGAGTGCTATATTATTGTTAAACATCGTTCGAATTATACAGGATGTTTCCTAACTTGTACGAAACTCCAGATAGTGATTCGTTAGTTCATTTTGAGAAAAAAGATACAGGATGTTGAAGTTTGGGAAAAAATTCTGAACTGAATTCATCAGGTGACCTTTCACTTTTCTGTAGATCTTAACTTTCGATTCACTATCTATATACTGGAATTCAATGGAAAAAAAATACGAACATGCTAGTTGTTTCTGATAGAAGTGGCAACACTGTATCGATGAAAATATTTTAGACAGATAGAGAATTAATGTTCAATTATCAAAACATCCCAATTTTCAGAATGTTTTGTCTTTTCGTTTTCCAGATACTTCTAATATATATCGAGTGCAATCACATTGGCATGTGTTTCTATGATTTCGTGACTGAAAATATTGATTGAACTAGTGAGAATGCGCATTCTGATGTTTCGTCGATAGGAAGGAAAAACCACCTGTTGGAAATCCTTCTCCTACGTCTCGTCATGTTATCCTGATAGGAGAATTTTCCAGGAAGATACCTCGACAAGCTTTTCCACCCCCAAGTGGGGAGAAAAAGCTCTTCGAAGCAGTATACGAAAATATCTTCAATTAACTGGAAAGAACGTTTTTTTTTGTTCAATGTTCGAAGGAAGCCGATCAGCTGCTTTTAATCTCCCTCCGCGTTTTCCGCTAGCTTTTCCACACTTTCCCACACTTTCCACGTTTCGTGTAGTCGATATCGATTTTTCACTTTGTAGTGACACAAATAGCTTATTCTTCGTGCGAGATAGAGATAGAGAAATAATTTCAATACAAGCATTCGCAAAGTGGCTATAGTATATCCAATATCAATTGCAGAATATCCCGCACTGTGCGGCGTCGGCGTGTTTGGAGTTTCCTTTGAAGTGACTGCAGGTGCGGCATAGGATTCTGCAATTGTTTTTGGATAAACATACCTACCTATACTCAGTTCCAAAAAAAGTGACGCACTTGATATTTGACCTATCTTCTTAAAAAAAAAGGCCGATTTTATTTTTTTTTATTTGTTGGTAGGTAATGCATTTGTCTTTGACATAAAGAGGTGAAAATTTTTTCAAAGCCTCCTTGATGGTGGTGGAATAACTCGAACCATGATTTATCCTTAATTTTTGACGCACTTTGTGTGTTAATTGAGTAATGGCATAGAAAGTGCTTGTACCGTATACGAAAGAGGCTTCTTTTGCGAGCATTTTGTTTTTTTATTCATTGATTTATCTCTAAAATTTCCCGAATTACAGCTTTTTTGCTGAATTCTTGCAGATTACCAACTTTCTGAATTTATCGAGAAACAATTTTTTAATGAAATAAACTGATACCAATAATTTGAAAAACATTTTCATTGAACACAAAATTATAAATTGGGATGACTGCTTAATACCGTGTATTGCATCCTCTAGCAACTCGAAGAACTTCTGATCTACGAGGAATACTGGAAATTAAGTTGCTTATCGTTTCCATTGGTATACGATCCCATTCTTCCACTAATGCATCTGTCATTTCTGCGATACTTTCCGGAGACCTCTCGCGAGAACGTACCCTCCCTAATTCATCCCACAAATGTTCTATAGGATTCATATCGGGGCATCTCGCAGGCCATTGTAATGTGGTAATACCAGTAGCTTCTAAGAAGTTTCGCACTATGGCTGCGGTGTGTGGTCGGGCATTATCCTGCATCAATATAAAATTATTGCCCACTAACTCTGCATAAGATGAGACATACTGCTCCAAAATGTCAATGTAAATTTGGGCATTCATCGACTGCCTCACCAGAAAATCATAAAGGGGTGTCTTTTCATTCATTGAAATCCCTCCCCACTCCATAACGGACCCACCATTAAAACTTTCGCATTCTGTTATCAAATTTTGATTAAACCGTTCACCAGTTCTTCTCCACACTCTTTTTCTTCCATCCACCATGTTAAGGCAAAACCTTGACTCATCCGTAAACAAGACATTCGACCATTCAGGAATATTCCACTGTCCATAATTTTCAACAAAATTTCTTCCAGCAGCACGATGTTTGGGCAATAATTTGGGACCTTCTGCAGGTCTCCTAGCTTTTAAATTAACTTCTTTTAGACGTCTACATACCGTCTGCTTACTTACTGCAACATCACGAATAAGGGATAAGCGTAAGGTATCAGCAAAAAAGCTGTAATTCGGAAAATATTAGAGATGAATGAATAAAAAACAAAATGCTCGCAAAAGAAGCCTCTTTCGGGGGTGTAAGCACTTTGTATACCATTACTCAATTAACACACAGGGTGAGTCAAAAATTAAGAATAAATCATGGTTCGAGTTATTCCCAGGGACGGATCCAGGGGAGGGGCCATGGGGCCATGGCCACCCCCTTGGGAACCTCATGGATATGTAAAAATGTAGGTATTTTGAATGAATGAAAAAATTAGTGTATATGTCTTCATAGCTAGAAACTTCGCAACAGCTCTGAGAAATTGCGAATTTGTAATATCACTCACTCTACTGTTTGGCAAATATATTTTCGATAACACTGCCACTCAGTAATTTGCTCCAAACAAAAAACTTAGACAAAAAACAAGCTAACGATGTTGTTAGTATCACTCTTCTGACGCTTCAAAATAAAAGGGATGATATTCTAAATACTATCTAAGTATTTCGGATGAAGCCAAACAGAAATTAAAAGAACTGAATGTTGAATTTTCGATGCCGAGAATAACAGGGAGACTGGTTCATAGACCGAATCCTACGGTTTCCTCAGTGGATGACCATTACATAATAACTGTTTTCATCCCAGTATTATCCTTGATCTGAATGATAGACTATCAGAAAATAAATTGAATCTATACAACCTTCACCTTAGTGTGCCATAAATAACTAAAAACAAAACAGATGAGGAAATATATGAGGTATGAGAAATATACTTGAACAGTTTCCGACCATTGATGGATAATGAAATGTCCTTTCAGAAGATCGTTTCTGAAATGTATATATGGAAGAAAATGGGGGATACTAAGCAAAATATACCAGACAATGGTATAACTGCCCTGAAGGAATGTAAAAATTTGTTTCCTAACATAAACATTCTTTTGGAACCATAATATTGCCTGCCTGTAAATGTTGCATCTTCTGAAAGAAGTGTTTCAACACTCAGAAGGCTGAAAGATTGGATAAGATCCAGAATGGTCCAAGACAGGTTAAATGGATTGGCATTTTTATTTTTGTCTGTTTAATTTGTTTTGTTTTTTTAAAAGAAATATTTTTATTCACTCTGAACCCGAATTCTTCAAGAGAAATATTTTTTTATTTACTTTTTTTATCCAATATGATTTATTACAGAATTTTACATATATTGATGGAATAAAAGTTTGAACTTGTTTCTTTACACCAGTAATTTCAATACTTGAAAGGAAACTGAAGATTTTATGTTTACTATAATCAATTTTTTTAATGAAAAAGCATTAGTCTCAGAAGGTCACCATATAATCAAAATAGGTTGAAAATCACTCCAGATTCGGAATCAAGACGCCCAATTCACTAAATACTCATATTTTTCTGGAAAGAAATTTCAGTTCTGAAAATTTCATTCTTGTCACTTTTTATGTAAACACCCCGTATCTTACGTAATTAAATCAAGTAAGGATTGTTGAATTTTCTGGAGCAAGAAATATTCCAAATCAATGACCAATAATTGAAGGTACAATCAGTGCAGTGCATCGCTAGCAGCCATGGAACCACTTACACGTTCGGAAAATCATATTAGCTGACAAGATAGGTTTGAAATCATTGCGGATTCGAGATCAGAAAACAGAACGTCTAATTCACTAAGTACCGCCGACTCATATTCCTTCTGAAATATTTTCAGTTCTGGAATAATAAATTCTGCCTCACTTTTCATGGAAGCACCCCAGAATATCTTACGAAATTATCGATGTAGGAGTCTGAAATTTTTAGGAGCAACAGAGAGTCCAATGACCAAGTAGGATCATCTTCAATAATACACTGCTTGCCAGCAGCCACAGAACTACCGACATTCCAGAAGGAAAAATTTATTAAATCGGAAAATTCCTTTCATGGTTGTTCTGAAATTATTGATAATCATAAAGCCAGTTTCCATCAGGGATCATGAAATAACAATCAGATCTAGTGCAATAGAATAGATTATCAGGAGTGATAAAATGGATCAAAAATCATGACGGGTGTCATTGAAATAAATTATCGTCTATTCTTTGATTGATGAGAAAAAAATATTTGATAAGCTTCGTCATGGAACTATAAGTCTGATGTCTGATGTGTCGATATTATAATACGAACAGTGAATTGTTTATATCATAATACCAACATTTCAAAAATTATTTGTAAATTTTTATATAGGTACGCAAAAGTATCTCGGTCGAATTACAATGAAATGAGACATGCTTGTAAATTTGAAAACCCTTCTTTAATAAACAACAATATATAAATCGAGCGAGATCTTGGTCACTTCATCTCTTGAAGAATTACACTGTTCAAAATCACATCACATCCTCTCATCTAAATTTCCCTGACACCACCGAAATCTCCATATCGTTCTTCCCGAACGAGCTGGCCATATCGATCACCTCCCTATTCTTAGGGATGGGCACCACGAAGCACAAACAACCCCCTAGGATCACCACAGCTGTCACAATAAAAATAGGTAGTTCGCAATTCTTGTCCATGAGGAAACCGAAAACAAAGTTGCTTACGACTGCGCCAATTCTTCCTGCACAAACCACCATGCAGACGGCTATTCCGTTGACCTTGGTGGGAAAGAGGTCCACTGCTATACCGGCTGTGCTCATGTTGGAGGCTATCATTGTGGCTTGAAACACGCAGGCTAAGACTAGGTTCTGCATTGAAGACCTGTATAGATAAATTTAATCAGTCTCTGAAATTAATCAATGGATATCCACCTTTCATACAGGGAGTTATCAAGAATTTCACCCTTACATAAGAAAGGTAATAAGAGATCAATAATAACCAACCAATATCTAGCATTGTTGTTTTTCCAAGGTTATTGAAATTCTACTGAAAGTTAGATTATTAGTTTATTTCGAAAAGTTTGAAATACTGCACTCTGCATAATTTGGCTTTCGAAGTAAAAGATCGTCCACAGTACAAGCTCTGCTTCAAATTATGGAAAACAGTCGAAGATCTGGAGAACCATGAACATTCTTTGTTGACCATGTGCAACCTCTCTAAGGCCTTCGACTGTGTTTCCCATGAACTCCTGTTAAAGAAACTCTCTATGGAATAAGAGGCACACCATTAGAATTGTTCAGATCGTATTTAGAGGGTAGACAACAATATGTACACCTGTACAATAACTCTAAATCTGAACTCAGAAATGTGCATCATGGAGTCCCTCAAGGATCCGTTCTGGGGCCACTGCTCTTTATCATATATATTAATGACCTCTGCTATCATATGATGAAGAAGTGTCAAAATTGTTCGAAGGGTCGTTTAGTTGAAAAAATACACAATAAAAAAAGTTCTGAACTCTAGTTTTTGGATTTTTATAGGGAGTCGTCTTGTTTTGAAATGGATTTATTCCATACATCTGCATCACACTATATGTGGTAAGTTTCTGTTAAGTCCTTTTTGGGACACCTTGTCATATACCAGAAACGTACACCTTTACAGGGTGTTTAAAAAAAAAGTGACCCCTCTTGCTATAAGGTATAGGTAGAACACAGCAAAATTATATCTTTATCTGTTTTCAAGATACAATGAGCTATACAGGGTACACAAAATTACCTCATCCAGTAGATAAGCCCAGCGCTCACACCTCCCAACAGCATGGTAACCATGGTAATGACGCGGGCAGTCGTTTTGGTAGAAACGTAGCTGGCCAAGCCGTTGAAGAGCAATGACGTCACTCCCATGGCGACCGTGCTTCGAATGACCGAGGCGTCCAGAGAGGGGGAGCAAGATAGATTCTTGCTGGGAGGAGGAAGGGAGGAGAGCTCCCTCACGGATATGGAGGCGTTCGGGTGGAGGGTTTGGAACTGTTCGAACCTGATGAAGAGCTCCGGCAGCCACAAACCGAGACCGAACATCCTAGAAGCAAATATGTTTATTTACAACCATATATGTAATGTAATGAAATTTATATAGATGAGACGATGGAGACTTTGATGTAGATGGAAATTACGAAGAGAACGCACTGTGTCCATTCAAAACCTTCTCTATCGAATTCATAGACCAGAAGCTTCCGCTAGTACTTACCCGAACATATTGGCGAACATAATAGAGCTAGTAAGCACCGTGATCCCGAGCAAAGGTGGCACAAACAAACTCTTCGCTTGCTGACCCATCTCTTTCAGCACCCTGGCAACTCTACCTTGGCACATCATCTTATCCCCACTCCCTATCTCGTTATTCCTCTCAGTAATGAGGTTCTTCACGGGGAAGTACTCAGGACTCCTCCCGCTGTTTGTTGCGTACATCCTACGCAGCACCACCAAGGCCTTCCTAGGGCAGCCCTTCGCCACGTAGAACTTGGGGCTCTCTGGCATTCTGATCAGCCAAAGGCCTACTAGGATCTCGGGCAGGGCCACTAGGATGAGGAAGAGCCTCCACGGGGTTAGGACGAAGAGACTTCCAACTGTTACTTCGATGGTAAGAGGTAGCACCAAGTGGGCCAGGAGGGGCAGCAGCAGCCAGGCGACTGTGAAGAAGAGGCCGCAATAGCAGACGCTGGAGGTGCGGTATTTGGGGGGTTGGAATTCAGCGAAGTAGGAGTAGATGATGCTGCCTGGGCCGCCGATGAAGAAGCCGTTGAGGAATCTGCAGGCTACTAGGCTGCCGGTATACGGGTTTGTGGACATCAATATTGTAACCTGAAAACAAATCGTTGAATCACGAAATTTGTGGAACTAAAAGTGCAGCGGCAGTTTTTGGGGACTGCCGATGAAAATGAAAACTAAGTAACTTGTGAATTGAATCTTCGATCTATTAGATTAATATTTTTTTACTCCTTTTCAGTTCGTTTGAATCTCAAACTTTTGACGAATGATTCATAATCTCCGACCCCGAGAACCCCAGATACTAATTTTGAATAGAATCGGATCAACTTTTCCGCCATATTGTATCTACAACCTGGAATTTCCCAATTTCGATGATGGAATTATATTCTCCGACCTCGAAAACCCTCAGATACAAATTTTGAATCGAATCGGATTATATATAATTGCAAAACTCGTCTGCCATATATTGCATCTGCTATCTTGAATCTCCTAATTTTGACGAAAGAATCATAATCTCCGACCCCGAAAACCCCCAGATATTAATTTTAAATAGAATCGGATCAGAAATAAAATATTCGTTCGCCATATTGGATTCGCCATTTTGAAATCTGTCCTTTCCAATACATCTAAGAATCTTTATACAGTTTCCGGTCATTTTGGCGGTGACAAGACGATGACGCGAAATTCAATGTTTTCCTTCACCCAAAAAAATGCTGAACTCGCCTAAAGAAGTTTTCACTTCAAACAATTGTAGAATTCGTATTGCTACTTTCCAGAAGAAGACTTTTGCGGGATAGGAAGAGCATATAGTGGAAATGAAATAAGTACCATTTCATTTCCTTCCATCCCGGAGTGCCATAAATCAAAACCAGACTCAATTTGTTAAGTCTTCCTATCCTGGAGAATATTCTTTGGTAGTTCAGTACCAATTCAGACGACAAACGTTGATCAGCAGGAGCTGAGTGATTGAAATCTTTGTTCTTTCTAGGTCTGTGACCGTATACACATGCACTAATGCCTGATGGTGTTTTTGAACCATCTGTGAACCAAAAGTTATCAGGTCTCAGTAGTTTCTCCTATTGGGATTTGGATGGTATAAGGCAGGTCATAGGTTACTGAAAATGCTGTGACTTTCTGTGTCTACCAGGAATCTGCTACGTGCAATTTGCCATATGCACAATTCTGTATATTGTCCATCTAGCCAGAAATATTTCCATAGCTGCCAAGGATGTGTTGTTGATGGTCTCAGTGATTGCCAGACACGAAGATACCAATGCTGGTGCTCCTTCAAATGGCATGTAGCAAGTTTGTAGACGAGTTACCAATCTCAACTTTGGGGTACTAGCAGTCAGAGATAACGACTGTTGGCCCATATTCTCGCTATGTGTAATACCACCTCACAGACAGTTCTATTATTACTAGATAATCTTGTAGTTTAGATCTCTGGAAGTAACTTTCGCTATTCCAAGCTAGCTTGACAGCAGCAGAATTTTGAAAGACCGAGGAAAAATCTGTTGACCAAGTCATCACTTTATCTCTCTGTGGTGCAGTTGCCACGATGCCCACATGTGAAGCAACAGAATTTTAAAGATCCGAGGAAAAATCTGTTGAGCAAGACATCACTTAATCTCTCTAGTTACTCTGTGGTCCAGTTGCTAAGATGCCTCGTACGAAGCAGCTGATGGTGCCTCTTGCTAATTAGATACCATCAGCTGCTGAGAGCTACCAAATTTCGAAGACCCGAGAAAAAAATTTGTTCAGCAAAATATCACTTTATTTCTATAGTGACTCTGTGGTCCAGTTGCCAAGATGCCCAATACGAAGCAGCTGATTCAGCTGCTGACAGCAACAGAATTTAGAAGGGTGAGGAAAAATCTGTTGAGCAAGACATCACTCCATTTCTCTAGTGCCTCTGTGGTCCAGTTGCCAAGATGCCCCATACGAAGCAGCTGATGGTGCCTCTTGCTAATAAGATACCATCAGCTGCTGAGAGCTACCAAATTTTTAAAGGCCGAGAAAAAAATATGTGGCCCAGTTTTCAACGCATTTCAGCTACCGCTATGTACGAGGTGGAACGAAAAGTGGGCAAAAATACAATAATTCGAGTTACGATGTTACTTTTGATGACTTACCGATGCGTTGAGGAGGTGGGTTGCTATGAGGACACTTCTCCGTCCCACCATGTCTGCCAGTATACCCCATACGAAGCAGCTGATGGTGCCTCCTGCTAGGAAGGCGACGTTCAGCAGGCCCTGCTGGAAGGAGGTTAGGTGGAGTTCACACTGCGCCGCAGGAAAGATGTAGGACAAGATTCCGTTCTGGAAGCCCACTACCAGGATGGAAAGGGCGCATACTGCTATGATCTGGTAGTGGAATCTGCCGTAGCCTGGAAGAATGGAGTGTTGGAAATGCATACCTTAAAAGGTGTATAGGGTGTCCCAATTTCGATGTCCTTACGGAATATCTTGGAATGAGCTAATGCCAGGGGTGCCTCAAGGGTCCATTCTGGAACCACTACTCTTCATCATATATACAATAAGTGGAATCCTAACTTCAATCAAATACTGTCAAATGCAAGCTCATGCAGATGATACCCAAATTTATTCAAACCTCAGTTTTATGAACATTCAAACTGTTCAAGAGCATATCAACAGTGATCTAAGTGACTAAGCTAACAAACATGAATTGAAACTGAACAAAAATAAGTGCCATCTGATATTATTTGGTAAAAATTTCAAGAATGCGGCTTTCACAAGAATTGTCCATTGAAATCGATGGCACCTTATTACCTATCGTGGAGTAAACGAAAAATCTGGGCATAATCTTCGACTCTGACTTGGAATTCATCTTACATGTTAATGATCAGCTCAAGAAGTCCTTCAGTTCATTGAAGTTGATTTATTCACACAGGCATTACCACAATCAACAAATACGTTAGCTTCTCAGATAATCATTAGTCCTCTCTAGGTTCAATTATGGTGATATTGTCTACGGTGATTTGCTTATAAAATGACACCAGAATCGTATTCAGAGGGTTCAAAACTTTTGTTGTCGTTTCATTTTTCTAGCAAAATAATGGAATTGAAGTGGCTCTCAATGTTCAATCGTGGGAAATATAATTTCTGCCTCTTTTTATAGAAATTATTGAAGTATGAAGTTCCTTCGGCTCTCTACAGTAAATTAAATCATATATAGGTTTTCCCTCTATTCGTTAGAGCTAAGGAATGAACATCACCTGAATATAGCTCGTCATCCACTTATGTGGGTTCCAGGGCATGAAGGAATCAAAGGAAATGAGGCAGCTGATCGCCTTGCAAAAAAAGGTGCAGCATCTGCACTTTTTTGTCCTGAGCCTTTTTGTGGGATAAGCAAATGTCACCTAAAGGGAGAACTCGGGAAATGGGAAGAAATTGAAAAGTCCTCCTACTGGAGAGCAACTCCAGGTCAATGACAAGCGAAAACGTTCATCAACCATTTGCAGAACCGAGCCAAAGAGCTACTCAGCCTCAGCAAACCAGAGCTAAAGCTTATCACAGGCTTTCTCACAGGACACGGCCCTCTGAGGTACCACCTCAAAAAGATGGGTCTGGCGGAGACTGACACTTGCCGCTTTTGTAACAATGCGACCGAAACCGCGGAACACATACTTTGCTCATGTGAAGTATTAGTCCACCAAAGGCTGAACCACCTAGAACAGCTGGTCTATCTCACCCCTGCTGAAGTGGAAAAGTCAACCGTCAGGAAAATCGTAGGCTTCATCAGAAGTCTAGGGTTAGAGGACCAAAACTAGATAGGGGTAATCACAATAGATCTTCTAGGTCGCAGTGATCGAGAGGTCTCTCAGCCTATACGACCCATCTACAATCTACAATCTACCTCGTCATCGTTCAGCCATGTTTTGGAAATCCTTCACCTATCAAGCCGTTGAGTTTTATAACTCGATTCTTATCCATCACACTCACTTATCGCAGTATAAAGTCAAGAAAATATTGAAAGCAAATTTTTTTGAAGGTCCAGACTAATCCAAAATTTTTTTGATATATTATGTATACATAATATGATTTTTTATTGAGATCCTTGATTTATTGGTGTATTTAATCAATGATATGATGTAGGATAAAATGCCATGCCTGTTGAGATGATTTTGTTTGTATAAAATAATACCATAGAATTGTTATGATTATTATGATATGTTCCTTTGTCTTGATGAATGCAGTTGTCGATTATATTTTCTAATTCTTTACAATTTAGGTTAAGTGTAAGAGTAGCCCTAGGCCAAACTTTCGCCTATTTTGTAAGAAAATAAAGAGGATTTGATTTTATTATTATAATTATTATTCAGATATATTTTTTTCATCTCTTGGAGCGCAAGAAAGGAAATTCCCATAATGTTTGCGTACCTAGAGAGGATATGAAGAAAATGTAAGTGTGGATTTTTTTATGAACTTCTAGAGGTTATAAGTTCTTGGGAATACTTCCATTGCCAAAGAACTCCAAAGCTTCCCCGTTCTATACACGAACGAGTTCAGGTAAAGTATAGTTCGACATTTTTCGTCGAGTCGGAAAATATTTATTTCCGTCGACCTCGTATTAATGACTAAGTTTAATGTATATGAAATCGTTCATTAATGACCCCTATTAATGAACGATTTGTCTATTAATGCACGATTGTTTTATAGGCAACCAAACATACACCGCGTGCATTCATTATTGTTTATGCTATAACTTACGGAATCTGCATTTAAATCGAAAATATGGATTTCATCGAAGATTTTACGCCTTTCCAAGTTTCTAACACGATATTTTAATCCCTGTTTTCTAATACAAGGAATTTACTTTCTATGTTGATCATTTCGACAACTGTCAAATGTCACTAATGTCAGTAACAAGGCTACAGGGTGATTCTTAGCAGTTTCCGGATGAATGATGAATTCGCGAACCAAGTTTTCTTCATTGCAGGAGAAATGAGAAATATAGTCGACGGAAAAATTTTGTAACCAACTTGTATATTAAAAGGCGATTAATGATGTCGAACATTAACGCGCTCGCTTCGCTCGCACGTTAAAATATCTCGATCATTAATCGCCCTCATTATTACACTAGTTGGTTAAATAACTATTTCCGGAAATTAAGGTTCATCGAACCTTCCCACAGGTAATTCGAATCCTTCAGGTTGGGAAAGTGGGATATACAGGGTGTCCCAAAATTAGCCTGCCAAACTTCACCAGCGGCTCCTACGATAAAAAATAGAAAGGCAAGTTTCAATGAACATGAGACCAGAAATGTCTTCTGGAGGAGCCTGAAGATGATATTTCTTGAGTATTTCCGAAACCCCATGTAACAAAAAGATGCAATTCGGTACAAGAACTATACTTTCCATGCCCAATGCAGTGAAAATGGAATCATTACAAAATTTCACTCAGGAGTGTATAATACAGGGTGGGACTACATTAAATATTGCTCAAAATTTTTTGTATGAATATTTTTCGACAATCCAATCTCTGATTAGGAAAATCCATATCATTTCACAAAAAAAGTGCTCCTGTTTTACATCGATCAGATGTATCATTTTCGAGTGAAATCGATTTCAAAATATTGATACACTCACATCTTATGGATAACGTTGCCAATTTCGAAATCATAATGGCTATAAAAAAATCAACTACTTTCTTTTCACCAAATAATCTCATAAAAGCGTGAAAAATAGGAAAATGATGTTTAAAAAACTACTTCAATTTTTGTGTATTTTTTTTCCATTTTCACTACGACTCATTGCAATGTTATGCATAATATCTGAGATGTAACAATATTTTTGAATCGCTTTTACTCGATAATGATACATCTGATAGATGCGGAACAAGAGCACCTTTTTTTTGTGAAATGATATGGACTTTCATAATCCGAGATTAAACTGTCGAAAAATATACATAAAAAAATTTTTAGCAATATTTAATGTAGTCCCACCCTGTATTATACACTCCTGAGAGAAATTTTGAGATGATTTAATTTTCACTGCATTGGAAATGGAAAGTTTAGTTCTTGTATCAAATTGCAACTTACTTTTGGACTGATAATTTGATTTTTCGACCTTGGTTTTCTGATAATGATAAAAATATGTTCTGCTTCTGATATGTATTATTGAGGTTAGTATAATAGACTCTCTTTTTGACTCCTTAGCAATGTTCATTATATCTTTTAGGTACTATGAATAAATCAATTTTGTGTCTGATGATGGCCTGTGGCCGAAACTAGTTACACACTACTATTATTAAATATTTTTTCGTGGTCGACAGACTTTGAGACTCTTATTGTTTTTTCTTATAAAAATCAATTGGACCACTTTGAGAAATATGGATGGTTTCCATGATTTATTTAATCAGGTGTTTATTCTACATTTTGAATTTTTTATTACTACTTATTTGTTGCTATCAGGTACCAAAGTTTTGTGCTTTTTCAATTAATTAGTGTTGACATTGGTTTTGACCTCTTCATGGAAGAATTTGAAGAAATATTTCTTCAATTGGAACGTTTTTTATATGAAAAATCCATAGCCCATTTTTGAAAATTTTATATTCATTCATTATATATCATTTTGAAGAAAAAAAAAAAGGAATTTAATGAACTTGTGTTCCATTTAAAAAAAATCATAAGTTTGAGTCGTATCTCCAAAGCCATACCCCGAAAAAAAAAAATCTGAGTGCGCCACTGGATTTTGCGTGAAATTCTCTATGCGACAAGATTTCAATTTGACATTTTTGCTGAGAAACTCCGTAGATATAGAGGGGGTCCAAGAAGTATACATTTTCTAAATCACCCTGTATCTCATAAACGGAAACAGTCTTGCAAAATCTGCCTAAGCCATCTTGAGTTTCACAAAAAAGTGGTACAGGACCGCGAAAACCGCAAGGTTCTATCTCCAAAGATAACTGAAATATCACGCAAAAGCATCCAAAACTGGACACACTGTACATTGAAAATATAGATTATTATTTTAATTCATAGAGACTAGGAAATAAAACCCCCAAAGAATCTTGAAGACAAAATATCATCTTTAAGGATCGAAAATTTCTTGTATACTCACCTGTGAGACATATTGCGTTATCAAAATCAGATTTTTCACTGGAATCTGACCCAAATGTGGACACCTTCATCTTACGAAAAAATCGCTAACTAAAGCAATCAGGATATGACAGTGGCATCATTACTGCAAATTGACTGATTGCATTGCGAAATGAAAACATTTTCAAACAATTCGTCGACCGAATTTTAAACAAATAAACTATTATAACAATCTATCGATAGGTAGCTTCAAATATTTAAATCACCTTCGAATGTGAATCAGATCATCACATTGAATGGACTTTAGAATCTATCAACATAAACATATTTTCTGACGACCGTTATCAAGACTATAACATTCAACCCTTTATGTCAAAGGATTATTACAAGTGCAAGGACCTCACCTGGAATATTCCTGCTTTTATAAGGTTTGTTATCCTTGAAGTTATGTTTCTCGAGACAAGAACAAACATTGAACATGACCTTAGGAAGTCGAAAAAGAGAATTGATGATATTTGTATCTATGTTTGTACACAGAAGGGTTGGGTACATTTTCAGCGAACGCCTTCTTTCCAGTTAGGAATGGGGAAGGATTCACTGAATATCGATATGAAATTTATAGGTTATTTTGTTTCCTTAGTTCGCAAAATTCAATTTGTTTTTAATATACTTAAACCCAAGCCTGTATTTTATCTAGGAAGGCGGATCTCACTATATGCGTGATACAACAATATCTGGTACCATCATTCTCACCAAGATCACTATACAGGCTGATTCACGTAGGATTATACTGAAAATTTCTCACCAAACATTTTCGGTCAATTTAAAGCCTGTCGTATCGTTACCATAGCAACTGAACACATTTCTTGGAAATTTTTTCCTCTTCCTTCGGGGACGGAGCATGAAATTACACTGGAAATTTTTTGACGTTTAAGGTTGAATGACATTTACATTCAACTTCAGATTATTTGGAGTTCATTCTACAGGATGGGCCACCAGTAACGCCTCGGTCTTTAGAAAGTTGCATGTCAACATAGGCTACCATTTAAAATTATTTCGAAACATACAGGGTGTCCCCAAAAACCATAAAACAGTGAAGTTAAACTTTTTTCTATCGAACACCCTATATATTATTTCATTTTGAGATTCTCCCTGATGAGCTGATTTCAACGACCCTCATACTTGGGGTCTAGCAGTTATAATTACTGAAATATAGGGTGTGAAAAATCGAGATTTTCCAAGTTCAAGAATTTTTTGTGTTGAAACTATTCATAATTGGTCAAAACGGCTTACATGTCCCTATCTCAACTTTTGATTAACTATCTACTGATCTTTAATTGGGACTTATACCGGGTGATCAAGATTCTGAATTCTGCACCACCCTGTATTTGTTTCAATTAAATGTCAGTAGATAGTTGATCAAAAGTTGAGATAGGGACATGTGAGCCGTTTTGACCAATTATGAATGGTTTAGACACAAAAAATTCTTGAACTTGGAAAATCTCGATTTCTCACACCCTATATTTCAGTAATTATAACTGCTAGACCCCAAGTATGATGGGTCGTTGAAATCAGCTCATCAGGGAGAATCTCAAAATGAAATAATATGTAGAGTGTTCGATAGAAAAAAGTTTAACTTCAGTGTTTTATGTTTTTTGGGGACACCCTGTATGTCTCGAAATAAATTTAAATGGTAGCCTATGTTGACATGCAACTTCGTAGAGAGGAAGAATTCCAAGAAGATAAGTGGTTAGCCTTCTAGAGACCGAGGCGTTACTGGTGGCCCACCCTGTATAAGTCAATAAATAAAAATCATTTATCAACAGTTTACCATATAATATTATGTAGGTATACTTGCAATATAATAATTCAGTGTGGAATTTTCTTAGCGAATACCAATTTAGCTTCAATTAATATGCGGGAGTTTTTTCTCGAACACGAATATTTAGAAAATTTTCAAAATATTCGTGTTCTCGAAAAAATTTCCGTGTGTGAAAATTTGGTTTCTTGCATAATTAGTTGTGTTCTATCCACCTAAAATATTCTCAACACTGCGATGTTGCCGCTTATATTGAAAAGTAGCAACATCTTTGTTTTTTTGAACGGGACACCCTATCTATTATTTCATTTTCAGATTCTTCCTAGAGAGGTGATTTCATCGATCCATTACATTTGGGGTCTAGCGGGAATGATAACAAAGATATATATATATATAGGGTGTGGAAAATCGAGATTTTTCAACTTCAAGAATTTCTTGTGTCGAAACAAATTATAATACCTTTCGTGTACTCCAAGAGATAAAAAAGAAAATTGCTTTCCTTGACTTTTCACCTGAAATTATTATCAAAGTCCCACAATTTCATTGGAGAGTATTGAGTAATCTTAGGAAACCATGAAAAATAATTCATTGTATAGTAACTGAAACCAATAGGAAATCAGCTCCATAAAAAACTACCAGGGATTTCCAGGAAATCATGAAAAATCCCGATCTCCTGGAATTCTGAAGATTACAAAAATATCCCCAGCCGAATCGTCTGACGGCTTCTTCTTCTCTCCAAATCACGTGACATCCGAGTACTTTCAGCGCTGAAAATTTCGGCGCCTCATGACAGGGACACAGAAAGTTGTAGGGCAATCGAACATGAAGCCACACCCCCCCAATAATTAGAATAAGAATAGAGCCACGTGCCAGCAATATATATGTGTGTGATCCCGCATGCACCCCTTCTAAGCTGCCAGCGTGTGCCATATCGATATACATGGCTTCCCTAAAAATAAACAATCAAAAGCCGAGCGCCATATGTTCATACGGTATACTTATGTGGGGACAGCTGAAACGGAAATATTTGGTGTGAATGAACTGGTACAATGACTACAACGTAAAATTCATGACCCAAAAATATAGATTACATATGAACATTTATATGCCCTACTGTGATAATCTTGACATTTCTAGAAAAAGTTGAGATTCTGAGGTTATTTATGTTATCGTTGAGCGAAAGAAGGCCCAAGTAAGATCCCTGTGGAACTCGAAAACTATTTTTTATGTGAATAACGAACTGATACAACGAGAATGGTTTCTTTATTATTAATCAGGCCATAGTTCATCTTATAAAATGTATAATTCATGAAATCGTTTGTCGAATACACAGATACCTGAAAACTATGCCGGAACTTTTGAAAATGAATTAGAGATTCTAAGATTATCCCCAATATCGTTAATGAATGAAGTGCGCAGAATAATGTCAAAATTAGAACCCTGTGGAACCCTTACAGCAATTATTGGATGATGCAAAGGTTGTCAACTCTTCTGGTATTTTCTGAGTTGTTTTTCATATGATGGTGATATACATGTATGTAGAGCTTGTTGAAGATCGTATGTGTATAGTTTTTGTTTGATTACATCATTTCTAACTATTTCACTCGACAGATGATCTGACCAATCATAAGCCAAAGAAACTTGTGTTATCGCGGAAAAACTAGCTGTCTTTCAATTCTGATTGGTCTATCAGCGTTGGTGTTTTCAACGATGTAATCATGTATAGCGAAGCAAAGTCTGTCTGTTTGGCATACAATAATTATGGCTGTACTCGTCAGAATGAATCGCTCACTTATAATACATGCTTTTTGTGCTTCGTGAACGTGAAATAGTCTAGCAAAATACCACTCTGTTCTGAATATCTTCTCATAATTTTGCGTCTTCCATAGATGAAAACAGCATTATGTTGCTCTACACTCTACACAGCAATACCAAGACAAAAAAGCGACAGAATCATCTCGAATGATCAGAACATCGTGATATCTTCATGATAATAAGGGTTCTTTATTCCTTTGCTAGAAGTGTGTTAGCTGTTCTGGTAGTTTTTGACTCATATTTCATATACAGTGTAAAGCGCACAAGAGGGTAGTATGGTTTTCGTTTCATTGGATTATTCCAAAACATAAGGGATTTTTAGTCCCTTCCACAAATTTCTTCAGAATTTATTGTTAAGAGAAACTTATAAGTTGAGTTCATGGAATTGTGGATCAGTGGAAATTAGTGTATTGTTCAACGGACACGGAATGATAGTGATTTCCCACAAGAAAAAAGTTTGCATCATGAGCCGTAAGCGATTGCTGGAATCATTCGAGTGGAAAATTAACATTTCGTGCGAGTTATGCACTATATTTTTTCTACGGCTGTAACAGATAACAGCGACATTTTTTATTTCTTCGTCTTGTAGCCATCTGATTTCCTCTCGAGTAATGCTCATCTATTAGACAGCGCTGTCATTGCTTGAAATTTGATATTCCGTTGGCGATGAGATTTTTTTGAAATAATAAGACAATGAAGTCATTGTGATATCAGATACGGCAATAAAATTGATGACATACAAAGTACCTCATTAATGTATCGAACACAGTAAAAAGAGAGCAATTTTGTGTTATAGCCGTAGAAAAATACATTCATATTGAATGTTTGTATCATTTTCATTCTACCCACTATTACAGGGAGATACAGAGTGTCAATGTTGAATAGCTTTTCGTGATGGCAAAATCCAGTCTGATATGTGACTGAATCGGTATACAAATTTCAAAATGTTACATACTGTGGTTATCCAGTAATGGATGTCCTGAATGGGCGTGTACACCTCAGTAGAACTTTTAATTCAAACCATGTTTATAATGATCCTTTTATACATAAATAATGATTGACGACATAATTCGATCGAAAAATTAACTGGAATGTTTTATTTTTGGTCATAAATAATAGTACTTTCTGAAAACGGACCCTCTTATGACGCAGAAACCTCATCTCGACATAGTTAAAAGAAAATACCAAAAGCCCGACGGAGACTGATGCAACTGATATATTAATTCTTTCAACTGTGATCTCGCGCTAATTCACTTTGTCAGAAATCATGTAGGTATCATCAATCTCTACCTGGAATAGTCGTGTTTCAGTATTAGGGTTTTGACGTCACATCATCGCCTCGTTTTCAGAGGTCCGAAAAATCGGGGATTTCAATAATTTTTTATAAAACGTAGGGAGCTCACAGCAAGAAACGGTTTGCGGTGGTGAGCTAGTTTGGGTGAGTTCTATCGAATTATGAAATAAATTTTTTTTGTGATATATACCCAT